GGGGTGCCCATCCTGTGGTGCCACAGGAGGGTCTCGTGGGACAGGAGGCGACACGAGCAAGGGGGCAGACTCAGGACCAGACCTGGACGCTGCAGCAAACACCTGACCCGACGCAGGAGGAGGAGACGGAACAGTGAGTGTGTACAGGCTCGACCCCGGCTGACGTGTGAACGTGGTCAAGTGTCGACCCGTGTCCGCGTCCGTGCAGTGGGTGTCCCGTCGGCGCGCAGGGGTGAACTGGTCGACCCCTGCATCCTGTAGGTCAGCACCTGCCACCAAGTTCGTAGAGAACGAGGGGAGGTAGAGACCGGACAGGGCGCCAGACGGGACCGCAGGGCACGGCAGGACAGTGGAGTAGCGAGCCAGAACAGGACCCCCAGAGGGGTCCGCCAGGGAGACCGCCACTGGTCGACTAAGCGGCGTGAGTGTGGTGCGGTCTCAAAAGAAGGAGCGAGACGCCCCTGAGTCAAGAGTGAAGGTGAGAGAGGGCGGAGCCGACGCAGTACCTGAGAGAGCAGACTCACAAGCACCTGAGGACACAGACTCACTGGCACCTAGAGCGACAGCCTCACCAGCACTTGGAGCAGCGGCCTCAACAGCACCTAGAGCCGCAGTACCAATGCCCGGGTCGGGCGGGAAACACCGGTAACAGTCACCCTCCTCACTAATAGTCACAGCATACATGGCAGCAAGAATAGCATCAAAGTCAAGATCAAATATAGCTACTCCTGCCCTAGACAGCTGGTCCCAGCGAGGGATCTCAGAGGCGTCAGGAAACTGGCGGCGCCAAGCGTCAGTCAGGCGGCCGAAGCAGCGCTGGGTGGAGTGTGGACCACCACACGGCTCACCCGCACGGTCGCCAGTGCGCAAGACGTAGGTGCACGGACCAGTACCCCCACCCCTCTGACGTGCAGCGTACCACTCACGGAGCTGCTGCGGGGAGAGGGTCTCCTGACCACGCTGCTGCCGCTGCTGCTGGCGCTGACCACCACCGGAGCCACTCCTCTGCAACGAGCCACGACCTCCGCCGCCGCCTCCTCCGCCGCCGCCGCCACCACCTCCGCTGCCACCGCCACTCCCACCGTCGCCGCCGCCGCCGCCGCCTCCGCCTCCACTGCCACCACCACCGCCGCTGCCGCCCCCGCCTCCACTGCCGCCGCTGACACCTCCACTCCCGCCACCACTCCCGCTACCACCCCCACCTCCTCCGCTGCCTCCACCGCCGCCTCCACCGCCCCCGCCGCCTCCACCACCGCTCCTGCCCCCCTTGCCCTTGCCTGAGCGACGTCTCCCTCTGGGGGCAGACGCCGCACCGACCGACTCAAAACCAACTAGGTCGGCCGTAGCAGTAGAGGCGACAGAGGGCAGGAGGGGGGAGGGGGAACACCCCTCAAAGATGGGGGTGCGCGGGTCACCACGAGAGGCCCCTACAGCGAGAATGCTCTTCTCGGCTGCTAGGAGGGACTTCTCGAGGAGATCAACAGTGAGAGTGGTGGGGCAGACTGAGAGTAAGTCGTCCCTGACTGCGCGAAGGGAGTCAGGGAGGCGGGCGACAATGTAGTAGAGAGTGAAGTACTGGGGGGGGGGGTTCTTGGCGCAGAACTCAGCAGGAAGCGCAGCGCGGAAGCGAGCATCACTAGTGCGCAGGTGGGTAATGAGGTCGGCGACTGTGGCAAAAGAAGCAAGGTCGGGAAAGAGGTACGGTAGCATGAGGCGGCTCAGTGCAGCAGTGGCAGGGGTGGAGTAGCGTGCAATGACGGCGTCGTACAAGGTCTGAGCACTCTTGTACGACCCAAAGTGTGCACGCTCAGAGGGAGGGAGGTGGCGACGCACAGCAAGACGTGCAGCAGCATCGCGTGTGGCCCACTGTGAGCGAACAGTGGCATCCTCAGTAGCAGCAGGGGCGGGAGAGGCACCAGAAGTGAGATCAAAGAGAGAGAGGCCGTCAGCTCTGTCGCACTGTAGGAAAAGCAGCAGGTCGTCTACCCACACGTCAAAGTCGATGGCTCTGCCCTCAGCGTCGAAGGTGAGGACACTGGGGGTAGCCATGATAGCAGTAGGGTGAGGGCAGTGCGCAGAGTAAAGCTCAGTGCTCACCAGACAGGGCAGTGCAGGCGGCTCGGGCGGCTCGGGCGGCTCGGGCGGCTCGGCAGCTCGGGTGGCTCGGCTGCTGGGGCGGCTCGGCTGCTGGGGCGGCTCGGCTGCTGGGGCGGCTCGGCTGCTGGGGCGGCTCGGCTGCTGGGGCGGCTCGGCTGCTGGGGCGGCTCGGCTGCTGGGGCGGCTCGGCTGCTGGGGCGGCTCGGCAGCTAGGGCGGCGCAGTTGCTGGGGCGGCGGGGCCGGGAGATGCAGCTGCGGGGCCGGGAGATGCAGTGGCGGGGCCGTCAGGGGTAGTGGCAGGGCCGTCGGAGGGGACGGCGGGGCCGTCAGGTGCAGCGGCGGGGCCGTCTGAAGCAGCGGCGGGGCCGGCAGAGGGGACGGCGGGGCCGTCGGGTGCCGCGGCGGGGCCGGCAGAGGGGGACGGCGGGGCCGTTAGAAGGGGACGGCGGGGCCGTCAGGTGCAGCTGCGGGGCCGGCAGGTGCAGAGGCGGGGCCGGCAGGTGCGACGTCGGGGCCTGCAGAGGCAGGCGATGAGGCCGCGCGGGCGGCGCTAGGGGGGGGGGGGCGTGAGGGCGGCGCGACGCAGCAGAGCCGCGAGGGCGGCGCGACGCGGCCGTAAGGCCAGCGCGACGTGGCCCAGGCCGCGCGCGCGGAAAAAAAAGGTCGCGCGCGCGACTCGCGGGGGCCACAAAGGCAGCTCGAGAAGGACTAGGGGGAGCGCGCTTCGGGGAGAGAAGGGCGCGCTCCGGGCAGCGAAAATTTCGTGGGTGGGCCCGTAAAAAATGGTCCTTAGGAAGGACCCGCTCTATACCATGTTGAGATTAGAGAGAGAATGGGTGCACTATGAAAATGAAACAAGTACAAGCACCAACCCTAATTGGGTTGTACCCCCTATGGGCTACCCCACTACAGCCTAAATATATGCATTAGTAATATAATCATCTGACACCTACGGTTGCCATCTTGCCCTGGCCCCCATGGCCTATCCTACTCCCCAAGGCTCCTAACCAGCCTACGCACCACCGGTGCATCCACCTACGCCCCCCGGCATAGTGGCAAGGGGCGCCGCCCCATGGGTCCTCTCACACCACGGGTGCGGGACCTTGTCCGCCACGCCCTCCCATAGGGCAATTATTTGCCATATGGCCGGGCTGGCCGCAACGGAAACACACCCCCTTGAAGCGGGGCTCGTGGTAGCCCGCGGGTGGCATGCCTTTGCTTTCCGGTTCACCGTCTCGAGGGGGAAGGCGGCCTCCGCGGGCGAAGCCGGTACGTGCACGCTTGAGGGCCGCCACGTCGGCTACCGCGAGCTTGTAAGAGCGGGATGTGAGCACGCTCTTGGCTTGGTACAGCTGGAACCGATCCGCCGCTTCGAAACCGGCCTCATCCGCCACCAAGAGCACCTCGAAGCGTTTGTTGATCAACGTGTCGATTTGCTCCACGTTGGAGAGCGCGCCCTCGACGTCGCCGTTTTGGAGCTTGAACTCGACGTGCCTCAGGTGAGCTTGAATTGCAGAGAACACCTCCGCCTGGTCACGCACTCCCTTGCGCATGAAGGTAGTAGCTGCGGGTGAAGGGTTGAGGGGGGGAAGGGGAGGTGCGGGTGCGAGAATGCGACGACGGGCAAGGTTGTCGGGGGCCTCACCGTCTTCATTTTCTGAGTCGTCGCTGTCGTCGGGGATACGGGCTTGGGTTGGTGCCGGAGCTGGGGCAGGAGCAGGAGCAGTGTTGTTGGTGCGAGCGATTTTGGTGGAGCGGGGAGCCGCAACAGGTTCCTTCTGCTTTTCGATTTTAGCTGACGCAGAAACTTCTTCAGCTGATGTAGCTGCTGTCGACGGTGCGTGCTGCTGCAATAACGAGAGCAGCGCCTGTAGTTGCTGCGCGGTCAAAGGGGTGGGGGCGGCGTTGACCGGGGTGACGTCAGCGGAGGGTGCCGCGCGCTGGCGTTTCTGGGTCGTGGGCCCGGATGGACCCGCGTCAACGCCGGTCAAGACGACCGCCGCGTTAGCGGCGGTCGTCGTCTTCTGCGCAGCATGCGCGTGCCTGCCAGGCACGCGCTCTTCAGCAGCAGCCACGCGCGACTGTACAACAGTCGCGCGTTCCTCAGGGGGGGTCCGAAGGGTGCCTCCGAGCAGGAGGTCGACCGCCGAGGGTCCCTCGCTTGAAATTTCCTCGACGGGACGTTTTCCGCCGCGACGATCTGTTGTCACGGCCGGAGTCGAGGTTTCCGCCGCGTTACCGGGGCTAGAATTATTCGAATTGTCGCGGTTAAGTGCCGGGTTGACCGGAGCCATCGTTGCGAGGTTGCGCTTAAGGATGTCGTTAAGGAGCGTTGACGGGGCAGTGAAACGCGGAAGCGACTGAGTCTTCGCCAGTGTGGACGAGAACGAAATTAGAACTACAATTTTGAAAATGAAAACGTGGGTGGGGACGAATGTCCCCACGTCCCTCTTTTGTAGGCAAAAGAGGGTGAGTAGCGCTTCGGCGCTACCTTTGCTGTGTTGGCCACGTACCCCTTTTCACAATACAAAATTTTAGAAAGTGTTACATTTCATTACACTTTCAAAAATTATCATTTTTGTTAGATTTGCTAGGCAATAGTGGGATGCATCTGAGGGGGTACAAACACATCTCTCTCGACATCCTACCGGTACTTCCGTTCAACCTAAGGTAAATTGCTCACACAGCACAAACTTGCAGTGGTATGATCAGACTCGTGTGGTATGGTACGACTACTTTTTGTAGGATGAAACAAGTACTGTGTCACATTTCAGTAACGTAACATATCGTATTGTAGCACCAACATGTTTGTGAATATGATGGTTAAGAAACGCGACTAATATAGTGGCTATTAGCATAGTACGGTAAGTGTGTAGTAACTTGACTATACCCTGTGAGTGTGTTACGTTGTCGGAAGGGAAAAGCTCTTGACATTCTGCCATTCACATACACACATGCAAACACGCCCGCACGTGCACTCCCAGAACCAGGGACACACACAGACAAACACAGACATACACAGGCACATGCAGGCACAGACAGACACAGACAGGCACAGGCAGGCACAGACAGGCACAGAGAAGCACAGAGAGGCACAGAGAGGCACAGCTAGGCACAGATAGGCACGCGCATGCGCACGCACACGCTCGTGCGAGCGCGCACCGCACGCACCCACGCATGCACGCACACACCCACTCACGCACGCACGCACGCACCCACACACGCACACATGAACCCACACACAGACAGATCTCCACAGACAAGAGCGCACGCGCACGCACGCACGCACGCACACACACACACACACACACACACAAGAGGCTCTCGGGGCCACCACACATGCGTGTTCACATAACGGAAAAACACAAATGTATACATCCAAAGTGAAACAAGCAAGAAAAATACGAGAAGGCAAGAAGAAAATTCTGAAAGACGTGCTAGGAAACTTGTTGGTTAATGCAGTGACGGGCGTGGCAAACCAGCAGCAGATAGAGCAGAAGTTGCATTCAAAGCAACGTGCCAATGTGCCAACAGCGAACAAGTCAGCGTATCACATGCTCCCTCTCCCTGCCTGTCTCTCTCACCTGCCTGCCTCTCTCCGTGCCTGCCTCTCTCCGTGCCTGCCTCTCTCCGTGCCTGCCTCTCTCCGTGCCTGCCTCTCTCCGTGCCTGCATCTCTCCGTGCCTGCCTCTCTCCGTGCCTGCCTCTCTCCCTGCCTGCCTCTCTCACCCGCCTGCCTCTCTCCGTGCCTGCCTCTCTCCGTGCCTGCCTCTATCCGTGCCTGCCTCTCTCCGTGCCTGCCTCTCGCCGTGCCTGCCTCTCTCCGTGCCTGCCTCTCTCCGTGCATGCCTCTCTCCGTACATTTCTCCCCCTCCCTCCCTCCCTCCCTCCCTCCCCTCCCTCCCTCCTTCCCTCCCCTCCCTCTCCTCCCTCCCTCCTTCCCTCCCTCCCTCCTTCCCTGCCTCCCTCCCTCGCCCTCCACACTCACGCCCCTCACTTCCGTGCACCTCGCGGGCGGCGCATCGGCGGAGGGCGCCCATGAGCGCGGTGCACTTGGAGAGGTCCGTGCGCGCATCCGCCACGCAGTTCAGCAGATCCACCGCCTCCTTCCCGCACGCCACCTCCCCCCCTCCCGCCGCCTCCGCCGCCGCCGCCACTGTGGCAGGTGCCTTCCCGCCGTGGAGCTCTTGCCGCGGCGCCTGGCCGTCCGCTTGCGGGGCTGCGCTGGTCGCGGGGGATGCGGTGCTCAAGGGGGAAGCGAAGGGCGGAAGCTCCGCGGAGGAGGGCGCAGCGGGCGATGGGGACGTGGCTTTGTCGGCGGGGGGAGGTGAGGGCGCGGATGCCATGATGGTGGGATGTGGGAGGAGGGGAAGTGCGGAGCGATAGGAGGATCCCTCGCGGGTGAAACCTGAGAATCGGTACGGACCCCTCACCAGCGTACCCTTGGCAGTGATGTGATCTGATAGCTCCTGTGTGATCCAAGGAGGGGCAGCCAGAACGAGGCAAGTGACTCGGGGAGCGGAAGGAACTATGAAGTGGTGTACTGCTGCGTGAACCCTCCTGCTGAGAATGTGGGCTGTTGCGCGCCGATGGTTGTGACGTCAAGGCTCGTAGTAAAATGACTCGCTTCCTGTTAATGTTGGTGCACACATGTGAAACATGTTAGATCAGACATATGTCCCACGAATGGTAGTAATAATATCCCGAGTAGTTGTGTATCTGGTGATGTAGTATAGTGCTGGCTGACGAAAAAACTATACAGAACTTTATTAAAAAACAGCACCATAACAGGGTGCAGTAAAAAAACAGTGAAATACGTTTTCTAAGAGTACGAATACAAGAAAACCAAAATGTCAATAGTAAGCTGGGCGCTCACGACATTGCTTCACTGCCTCCTGCAAAACCGAAGAACAAAAAGCGGGAGAGACACACCAGTGCTTCAATCTGTTCAGTAAGCGAACACATTCATATGCGCAAACACCCAAAAATAAATGCTTCTAAACTTTCTGCAGACATTGACACGCTGTATCCATCGTCATCATTTTATGATGAATGGCTGGAGGGAGGGAGACAGTAAGGGAATGTATGCGCAAGTGTGAGCACGGGTGCGTGGGTGTGATCATGCGCATGTGGGTGTACGTGTGTGCGTGTGGGTGTCAGTGTGAATGCGGATGTGGATGTGAATGTAAATGTAAATGTGAATGTGAATGTGGATGTGGATGTGGATGTGGATGTGGATGTGGATGTGGATGTGGATGGTGGTGGCAGGTGGGTGCACGTGTGCATGGACGCACACACATGAGTGAGTGAGTGAGAGATTGAGAGAGTGGTAGAAGAAAGCCTGACTTGAAAGGAAGCCTTGAGTTGCAGCATTTCTCCATCGAGGGCAGTGAGGGCTGTGTTGTACGCCTGCTGCGGAGAAGACTGGCTCGTTGTCTGGATCTGCACCAACCATGGGGGCATGAGTGGCATGAGACGTGCATGGGTGGGATGGATGGCACAGGGTGTGGTGGAGAGGATGTGGCAACGGGTGGGCACACATGGGAGCTTGCATCTTGAAATGTGATTTGGGAAGCAAAAGGGAAAGCAAAGAAAAGGGAAGATAGAGAATAATGTGGGTGGGGGCGGGTTGCGAAGAGAGAAAGTGATGAGAATTGAAAATCCGTGCGAGAGGATTGTGGTGACAAGCAGTTGCGAAATCCGAACGTGGGGGGTGACACAGAACACCTGGAGGAGGGAAAAAAGAAAGGAGGATGAAAAATGCCAGCAGAAATAAGCTCATCTGGGCTTTCAGGGGGTAATGACAGAGGCAGCGTAAGGAGCGAGAGGAGGAAGAGAGGCGCGGAGGGGCAAGAGTGGGCGGAGGTGCAGACGAACCTTGAACTGCACTTCATACTTGAGCGGGTGAGGAATGCGGTAGCCCACGAAGAGCACATGGGGGTCTCTGTGTAGCTGCCTGCAACCCCATGCACACATGCATCCGTGAGCGCATACATCCGTGAGCACATACATCCGTGAGCACATACATCCGTGAGCACATACATCCGTGAGCACATACATCCGTGAGCGCATGCATCCGTGAGCGCATGCATCAGCATGCAATCCACCGATGCACCCGTGTATGCAGTACATCACATGCGTGCATGGATGTCAGCAGCACAGCACACAGAGCATGGACACGTTCCACACCCATGCACGCAAAGATGGAGACAGAGCATCGGCTCATACATGAGCCAAATGGGAGGGGTAAGGCGGCGACGGGGAGGATGGGGAGTGAATAGGAGAAACGGAGGTGGAGTGGAGGAGTGGGAGAAGTGGAGGGACATGTGGGAGGCGATGAGCTATAAGTAGCGGGTCAGATGGGGGAAACGGAGTGGAGGATGGAATGGGGCGGGGCGTGTGAGAAGCAGAGTGCGGCAGAAGTAACACGACTGACGAAGTGCAGGGTGTGGCAGCGCGTGGCAGCGCGTGGCAGGGCGTAACAGGGCGTGGCAGGGTGTAACAGGGTGCGGGGCAGCAGTGGCGGGCAGGGCACGTACATGCGCAGCAGGTTGCCGATGGTGTGGTCCTCCCTCTGTATCACCAGCGTCGCCGCGTTCAACACCTTGGTGTCGCGCTCATACGACACCCTGACGCACGCACGGACATGGGCCCGAGTACACGCACACGCACACGCACACGCACGGGCACGGCCACGGGCACGGGCAAGGGTATGGGTACGGTTACAGGCAGACAGGTAGAGGCAAACACTGAGGCAGGAACGCAAAGGTGTGTGATGACAACGCCATCCCACGATTTTCCACGCGCGCTGCCTTCCGCGTCCTATATCACTGAATTCCGCCCCCCCCAACCCATCCCTCTCCGCCATCCCCGTTGCCGCCACCCGCGCGCCTTCCATCCCCCTTTGTCCACTTCGGACAACGAGGGAAGCGAGGGTGGCGGGGTAGGCTCACAGAAGCGAGTAGATCATAAAGCGGGGGTAAGGGGCGGTTGATGAACGTGCGAAGCTGAGCTGTGCGCTCGGTCTATCCAGCTCGACCCGTCGCTCTCTCTGTCCGTACGGCCGTGGGGTTCCAACTTTTGAGGCGCCTCAAAAGTCGACTCTCTGTTGTCGCTGCCGAGGGGATGCACTCACTTTTTCATGCCATCGGGGAGCACGAAGCGCTCATAGCGATCTGGCGCATTCATCTTGGCGGATAGCGGGGTCGACTGTGAAACTGGGTTGGCAAGTCGCCTAAAATAAGAAACGGTAATAACGTCGAAGTGCCACACGCAAAAACTAGGCAATGAAGCGAGGTTACGGTCGATAACCCAATAGAAACTCGTTAGATTGTCACTCGATAGTTGTGAGCATTTAATATTGCCTATTATTGCGACACTACAGCTTGTACATTCACAAGGGCTTGCATCAGCCATACCCTGCCCTAGCCCAGGTCGCGTGAAGCTCGTTTCATCCTACCGTAACTCTCAAGTCTTTGAGAGTCACAGTGATGGTCCAGGTGATACTTTTGGGGAAAAAAAAATATCATTTGTCAATACATGCTTGCTTCATTTGCAACTTTCTAGCCAGCACATCATCCTCTGCATTCGTACGTACAGCAATACCGTATTATTTGAAAACTCGGACTGAGTAGGGTGGCCCACAGTTGGTATTAGGCTGCTATTATTTCACAAGGCATCAACTGTCAGACTGCCAGACTGTCAGACAGTCACTGAGGGCACAGAGCCAGGGCTACCCTCCCAGATTCTATCCAAGCGGTACACCTGCCACGGGGGAGGGGGGGAGTAAGGGAGACAGACAGAGACACAGAGACAGTGAGCCAAGACCCTTAGTGCGCACACAGAGTGAGCTCTGTTTGGAGCAAAGTCGGGCAAGCATGGAAGGAAGCAGGAAGCGAGGGAGCTCTTTGCATGTGAATCGTAATGTGAAGTGAGGACATGGAGCAGCAGGAAGGGGGAACGAGTGGGAGGAGGTTCGGTTACGTTGGGTCAGGGTGAGTTTGGTTGGGTTGAGAGGTACCTGAGCAGTGAGAGCAGGCAGTGCAAAGGAGGCTGTGGCTCCCCTGCGATAAACTTGCCTGTCCATGTGACATGGGAGAATCACAGACATATTAGCCAGGTAGATCAAAGCACAGAGGAAGATTCACAACTGAGAAGATCGATGCAGCGGAGCAGAGCAGCACAGGGCATTAAATGGGAGGGTGGGGTTGGAAACGAGGTGGAATGGCATGGTTAAAACACATGGAAACGTGGGCCGATTGTGCACTCAATAACAGCTACACGTATCAGCTGAGCACGACCGATTTCGACCCCATGTGCGGGTGGTGTGAAGTGGACGTGGGCAGAGCATATGGTAAGGCTTGTTAGGTGACGTACGAGTGGGGAGGCAGTGGCGTGGGAGAGGCTTGCACTGTGGGCAGCGCGTGGATGCCATGCGCGTGGTGACCTCCCCCATACTCCCGCGCTTCTGAGTCCAGCAGTAGCTGGTGTGCACACGTGGTGGGGGAAATGGATGGGTGGAGAAAGTGATGTTGGCACGAGGGAGGGAGGGAAAGTGGGGAGAGGAGAGGAAGGAAAGGGAGGGACGGGAGGGGAGCGGAGGTGGGGTGTTAAGGGGAGGAATGATTGCAGTGGGGCAAGGAGGAGGAGGAGGAGGAGGAGGAGGAGGAGGAGGAGGAGGAGGAGGAGGAGGAGGAGGAGGAGGAGGAGGAGGAGGAGGAGGAGGAGGAGGAGGAGGAGGTGAGGAACTAGGACTGAGAGCGCCACATGGGCATTTTCTAAAGCAGGGCTGTGCAGGTGATGGGGGTGAGGAAGGGCGAAAGGATGTGTGGAAGAATGCTGTGCGATAATGGTGGAGCGAATGCTGGTGGTCGCCTGGGGTGGTAGCGATGGTGATGCAAGGGCAGCATGGGACGGGTAACTCACAGTGTACTCGCCGGCACGAGGCAGCGCGATGGAGAAGGAGGCAAAGCAGCGCGAGGGGTGGAAGTTGAAGAGGAAGAGCAGCGGGCCACGTGTGAAGCACACCACCTGGGCACAGATGGCAGGCAGAGAGGGCCAGAGAAGATGGTAAGTGCGCAGGAAATCACGGATCTCCTCACAAGGATCTCAAAAGTAACTCTGTATGCTGCGACACAGACTCGAACTGAAGAAGTGGGAGAAACTGAAAGCAGTTCACCTGCAATTGCAGCACCTCCCACCACTGCATCAACTCCCACCACCGCACCACCTCCCACCACCGCATCACCTCCCACCACCGCATCACCTGGTATCACCTGGCAGCACCGCATCTCACCCGGTGCTCCTCGCTGACATGGCGCATGTGAGGCTTCTCCAGCGCCAGCACTCCCTCCCTCTCGTCCAACGCCATCACCGCCTGCCATGCCATGCCATGCCATCACAATTTACACCGAAGCATAGACAATAGCATCACAAAGTCACATGTTATTATGCGAAGAGGAAGAAGCACAGCATAGTACATGTTACTGGACATGGCTTGAGGATGCACTGAGGGCATGCACATGCACATACATGCCCGGCTAAGAACCAACATGTGAATGTAATGTAGCGACTCGTATGCACGACACATGTGCATGTGTAAGTGCAAGTGCGCGTGCACACATGTGCGCGCTTCAACAACACATGCGCACAAGGGTGCACATTCATCGCACCATCTAGCCAGCATGCATGAGCAGAGTGAGCATTTGAGATGTAAGCACGCAGGGGCAGGCAGTACCCTATCAAATGCAGCGATGTGTGCGAACGGGCTGCGGGCGTCCTCCTGCAGTTGCCAGCAGCACTGCGACGAGCCCTCATGCGGCCTTGATGTCAGATGCAGGCGCTGGGGGTGGGCGGAGAGAGGGGCAGAGAAGGAGAGGAGGAGGAGGAGAGGGCCATGCTGGTATGCTGGTGCTCCCAATGATGTAAACAAGGCAGGGATGAGAGGCGGGTGAGACCGTGAGAGGCAGGGATGAGGTCACTTGATAGGCAAGGAAAGAACGGAGCGAGATGAAGGGACCCGAAGCAGGGAGCGCTGCGTAGTGAACTTAACATAGAGATGAACGCAGGGCTGAATGAACTCAACATTCCAAAGAAAACGCGAACGTTCATGAACATGCCACAAAAAAGGTCCGTGGTTTTGCGGAATGACATGCCATGCCATGCCATGCCACGCCACGTGAATGGATGGACGAGGGAGAATTAGGGTGACTGACATGTGGGTGGGCGAACTCATTTCCCATGAACGACATGTATGCATCCCCCGCTGCTGACAGCGTTATCAGCCGAATCAACTGCCATGGGGTTGGGGCAAAGAGGTGTGGAGAAGGGAGGAGGAGGAGAGAGAAATTGGGGAACGGATGAGGGAGGGCGGCAGGGCAGGGTGTGGGAGGAAAGCAGTAGCGAGAAGAGGGTTGCTGAAGTGGCAGGACGAATGCATGAGTTTTCCAGAGTTCTCTCAAACAGCATGCAGGTTGCAGTGAGAAAGAGGAGCAGAGCAGCAGAGGGAAGGGATGATGAGCGGTGGTACTTTGTAGAGAGCCACGCCGCGGTGCACTTGAGGTAGCTGATACCACGCTGCTGATGGTGGTGCTGCTGATGGTGCTGTTGCTGATGGTGCTACTGCTGACAATGACAAGTGTGTGCCTGGTAGCCGCTCCTCTTCATCGGGCATGTATCGGCCGATCAGTGTGTGCGCTAGAGGGTCTCCCGCTACTGCCTGCTTGCCACCATGGGAGCAGGGGCGGGGGGGAGAGGGGAGGGGGAGGGAGGGAGGGCAATGAAAGGGGGCTTGAGCAGAACAGCAGAGGGAAAAGAATGAGGATTGAAGGATGGGCTGTAGAGAGTTAGCGGCATTGGATGGTTGCTCATGCGAGTTGACTTTGATGCTAGACGGAGCAGAAAAGAACACGCTCTGTGTGAACAGATGCCAAATCCCACTTGCACATACATAACCCACATTCAAACGTGCACATGAAATCTTCCACATGTAAACATTCACGTGTAGCACACACGCACATCTAAACATGCAGACACACACATGCAACCATCGCACCTGCAGGTGGCCCTCGGCGCACACGAGGGTGCGCTCCCCACAGCCCTGCTGCAGCAATGTGAGCATCATCTGTATGGCACACAGCGAGAGGGAAGGAAAGGCCAAGCGAGGGACAAGAAGGCAGTGTGAAGGAGAGGCAACTGTGTTGTGGCTGCTAAGAATTCTCAAAGCAGAGACAAAGTGCGTGGCTGCTAATGGACCGTCCATTACACAAACAGAATGAAATAAGCAAGAGGAGTGTTTTTTCGGCATTCTTTAGTGCCTGCCTCGCAGAGGGGGTGGGAGGTTTGGAAAGAAAGGGCAAAGCTGAGCGCTCTGAGCTGGCTAGACTGTCCCTGTCTGATTGGCAGCAGCAGGGGACCGCTGACACACACATGCAGAGATAAAGAGGCACAAGTGCAACGCTGCACTTGCATAACTGCTCTTATATAGGCGCAGATGCACGAATGCATGAACATACTCATCACCACGCCAAGGCAGTAACTGGCTCCCAACTACTCCAACGTTTGCCTGTGCACGCTCCCCCCTCTCCCCTCCCCAATTTTCTCCCTTGCCCCCCGCTTTTACCCTGCGCCTGTGCACCCCATACTCCCTTGCCATTGCTACGGTACGGCCCCACACATGTAGCCACAAACTGAGACACACTCACTCACTCACACAAAGCACTCACCCACCCCCACACCCACTCACTCACACACCCACTCACTCACACACCCACGCACGCACCTCCTCCATGCTCCACTCCTCCAAGTGCGTGTGCCCAGGCGTTGCCTCGCCCCCCTGCCATGCGTGGTGCAGCAGCCACGGCCACATCTCCATGGGCCCACCATTCAGCCGCAGGTCAAACCCCAGCCCGCCCTCATGCGTCCCCGCACACAACCCCGGGTATACTGTCGCCTGATAAAAGGCAACGCGCAGGGGGGGCGGGATGGGAGTGGGGTAAGAAATGGGAAAGGAGGTGGCGGGGGGCCGCAGATCGAACACCAGCCCGCCCTCGTGCGTCCTTGCGCACAACCTCGGGTAGGTACAGCGTCGCCTGAGAGCAGGCAGTGCAGTGGGAGAGTGGGAGGGGGGTGGGGTAAGGTGGGGAAGGGAGGAGGAGGGAGGGAGGGAAGGAGGAGGCGCTGAGGAGCAGTCGGAGAATGTGGAGCTTTGGGTGCGCTGTGGAGATTTGAGGAGGGTGAACAGGTGGGCGGTGCTTTGGTGGAGCCGTGTTTTGGGAGATGGAGAGTCAGGCAAGAGGATACTCCCCTCTGGGCTGGCCTGGGGTGTGGGGAGACTGGCAGCAGGGGGGAGGGAGGCAGCGCGTGGAGAGGTTGAGTGAGCCTTGTTAGTCTTTCCTTTCACGCAACGCAAGCAGGGCTGCGCTGCGGGAGCAAGGCGGAAAGGCGGGGGAGTGGATGGGGAAGAGTGATGCATGAAGAAAGAGACAGCATTCGTGGCCTGCTGCTACCTTAGGCTTATGGGACTGTTGTGCCTTCTTGGAGAGCCCATGGTGGAGCTCCAGTGGGGGACGTCGGCTGCACTAGGTGTCGGGTATGCACTTTGAAGTTCCTAGTGTGTATTGCACTCACCTCCTTGCTGCATGTCTGTTCCTATCTGTACACCAATTGAGAGGGGAGTGATAGGTGGTGATGAGGTTAAGCGAAGGAGTGTGAAGCAGTGGCGTACGTCATGGGCGATGGTGAGGAAGGCAGGGTTGAGTTGGTGCAGCATGTCGTTGGCCAGTACCAGGTATGCCAACGCATCCTCGTCCACTGCTGCTCCGAAGAACCTGGTGGGGGGGAGAGGAGAGGGGGAGAAGGAGTGGGTGAAGGGGAATGGGAGAGGAGAGCAAAGGGGTGAGGGGAGAGGGGGAGGGGAAGAGGAGGGGAAGGGGAGGGGAAGAGGAGGGGAAGGGACAGGAAGGGAGAGGAGGGGGGGAACGGTTCAGGCGGGTGGGATGAGGTCTTTGTATTCACACCATGTTGGCGCATGTGCTGCGAAGTTGCGGCCTGAACATGGCATGGATACAAGCATGAGCATGACATGCATGCGCACATGCGTGGTTGTGCGTGAGCGTGAGTGTGCGAGCGACTCACTCCTCCACCCCGCGTTCGAAGTCAGAGTATCCATTGTGGAAGTAGATCATGGATGGCAGCGAGTGGAATAGCATGCCGTCCAACCGATACTCCTCCGCCCACCTGATGCCCACACTCACGTGCAATCATGCATGCACACACATGCATACATACATCCACACCGATGCACGCACACATGCACATGCACATGCAAATGCACATGCGCATGCACAGACATGAACACACATACACACACACATGCACGCACACATGCACACGCACATGCACACGCACATGCACGCACACATGCATACATATGCACGCACACATGCACGCACACATGCACGCCCACATGCACACACACAGCAAGCACACACATGCATGCACAGAAACATGTAAAAGAGCATGTGGCAAGTTTTGCCACAGGACCCTTCTGCACAGACATACGGGCACAGAGGCGAGGTGGCATGTGCGGGCCATGAAGAGGACCAACTCTTGCCCTCAATCCTCATATACAGTGGTCAATGAGCCCCCTCAATGTACCTGCCATGCTGCTGCACCCACCTGGGTTTACCTCCATCCATCCCCGTATGTGCTCAACACATGCAACTGCACTCAACATAATCAGCATCGACAGAACACCATGCTCCCAACAAACTCTCCCAGTGCTGTCCTCTCCTCTCTTCTGCATGCTCTCCCTTCATCCACTCCCCCACTCCACCCCTTCTGATTCCTACACGCCCACAAATCCGCATTCAACCATTCAAGCATCCTTCAGCCATTATCTCCCTCCCCCCCCTTGCGATCCTTTCCCTTGCCTACCTAGTTATAATCCCAATGCCTCCACCCTCCTACTGCTTTGCAACCCCCACCCGCCTCGCACTCTGCACCCTGCGAGTGCATACCAGCGCAGGTTGGAGAGCAGGTAGCGCTTGACCTCGTAGTTGCTGAAGTCAGGGATGCGCGTGCCCACCCGCTTGTGGTACCCGCGCTTGCCTGCCATGCACACACGTGGCACGGGCAGAGGGGTGCAGCGAGCAGGAAAGGGAGACAAGAGGGTGGGGGACACCACCGGGGGGGGGGGGGGGGGGGGGGGGAGGTGAGGCAATGAACAGGTTGATGAGGTGGGCGTATGATTTGACACTTGAGGGGAGGTGCCGCAGCAGCACCTTGCTATGCCAGGTACAAGTGTGGAGGGTGTGGGACAGTAGTAGAATGCATGGGTTTGCCAAGGGGAAGCGCGGCGGATCCAGCCCATGCAAGAAGCGGTGGAACGTGGGGAGCATGAGAGAGGCATTACAAGAGGACGAGTGGGCTGTGGCATAGAGGAGCCCCCGGCAGACACCAGTACACACAGACACACACACAAACACACACACACACACACACACACACACACACACACACACACACACACACACACACACACACACACACACACACACACGAGCAACCGGACAACACGCGTGCCAGGTGCGGTCGGTGCCTCACACATGCTGGGCATAGATTGAACAGCAGGGCAGGGTAGAGTGCACGGCACATGCCTGGGCGGATGAAGGAGTTGGCTTGGCCGTCGAAGTTGAGCAGACCAAAGGCCTCGTACGACCCGACCTGGGAGTGCACCACGCTCATCATCACCAGCAGCCCCATGCCTGCCAGGGGTGTGCGTGGGGGTGGGGAGAAGGAAAATGGGGTGAATGGGGGGCGGGGGGTGTGTTGGGGGTTGCGGCACGTGTGGAAGAGACAGTGGGGAAGAGACAGTGGGGAAGAGCAAGCGAGGGTGGGCAGAATTTCCAAAGCGATGTGCGAGTGAGTGAAGCACATGAATGCTTTATGAGCACTACTGAGCCCATGCTGGTTGGGTAAGGGTCACAAGGAAAGGGGACAGCAGCGGCAGGGCACATACTCAGAGTGCATCCCTGCTCCACTCCACCACCATCCCCTCATCATCACACCACACCTGCTGCCTCACCATGCACACCCACCCCACTCCCTCACCATGTGCCGTGTCGACGAGTCGTTTAAAAGCATCAGGGGAGCCAAAGCGACTGCTCACTGCAAAGGGGCTCGACACCTGCGTTGCAGAACGGGGCACTCAAGGAGCCAGGCGGGGAGAAAGGGGTGGGGGGGAGAGGAGATAAAGATGAATGAACGCATGTGGTAGTACAAGGGGGATCATGACAAGCAGCAGAGCAGATGTTGTGGCACGAGACAGAGTGCAAGCAGCACATCAGAGCACACACACACAGTGCTCCTTCTCCTCCTGCTAATCAACACCATCTGTCTTCCCTCCCCATCCTCCACGTCTCGCGCCCCTTTCTCCCAACACCCACCCTACTTCCGTGTAACCACTCTGCTAAAAACACACTGCCCCTCACTGCCCCACGTGCCACCTCGTCCATGGGCCCCCTTGGCACGCACCTTCATTCCTTCATCCACCTTGCCATCCTTGCACATCAACTTCTTCCACCTTGCCCCCCACCCCTCACACCCCCCTCACCCCTCGCAACCCGCTAGCGCCTCCTGCCCACGTGCACCTTGAGGCCCAGCGAGGCATAGTCGGGGTGCTCCATGATGCCCAGCAGCAGCAGCAGCAGCAGCAGCAGCCGCACCAAGTTGCCCCGTGCCCCTCGCCCTGTGCATCAAGTTCTTATACCTTGCCCCTCACCCCTCGGCCCTTGCGCGCAGCGCACCTTGAGGCCCAGCGAGGCATAGTCGGGGTGCTCCATGATGCCCAGCAGCAGCACCGCGTTGTACCCCGCCGCCTTGATGCGCGGCAGCACCTGCAGGGGCGCGGACCAGGGGGAGAAAGGCAGAGAGAGAGATGTGTGGGGACAGGGTTAGCGAGCGGCAGGGTAGTGTGGTGTGATGTGGGGAGGGGGGGAGCAAGAATTCCGTGCTCATGGGGGACTTTGTGCAGGAGAAATTGTGAACCGTTTATTCCATGGCCTCTATGCCTGTCCCACGCCCCATGCCCCATGCCCCATCCCCCATGCCCCATGCCCCATACCCAATAACCCATGAGCTACAACCCATGCACCATCCACCATAACCCACGCCCATCCATCCACCATGCCCCATGGCCCATGCCTCATGCACCATCCATCCACGGTGCACCCCTCAGGCCTACCGCATCAGTGAACTCATCAAAGCTCGTCACCTCCCGGCTTCCTCCACGCCACTCCACGCGCTCCCCTTCGCCTCCTTCCGCCCTGCCCTCCTCCCCTTCCCTCCTCTCCCCACCCACCACAACCCTCTCCTCGTCTCCTGCTCCCTGCGCCCTGCCTGCCTTACCCCCGCTGCTGCCCACGTGAGCCTCGTACACGCGTAGGGTGCGAGGGCGAGGGGGGGCTGTGTGCTGCCACTGGTGCCGCTCGCCCAGAGGTGGGTCCCACACCACCCCACTCCACCTCCGCCCCTCCCTGTCCTCTGCATGGCATTGGAGGCAAGGAGGCGCATGATGCGCACATGATGAGAAAATGATGCGCACATGATGAGAACATGATGCGCAAATGATGAGAACATGATGCAATCAGCAGTATGATGCACAAGAAACACCCATCTGGATTCTAATTCAAGCAATTAGTACATCACACATGTGGCGATCCAGCGCATGAGCACAGTACCCAGCAACATCACACCTGCAGCCACACACACACCACAGACCCCTCACTCTAACCTCACCCCAACCACCCACACAGACACACACCACAAATCACCAACCGACAACACCCCTCACATCCATCCCCCACCCCACCAGGAGCAACAAACGTGGCCCACGCGGACACACGCTGCAGCACGCCCTGAGCCGTGCTCAGCTGCACCCTCCACCGGTCCCCATGCCTCACTGCCGCTTCATACTTCCTCGCCCATGCCACACGCCCCTTCCTCTCCGCCAGCCAGTACGGGTACGGCAACTGCTTGTTCTCCACGTATGCTGCCCATGCGGGATCTTTAAGCAGCTGCCAGTCGCCCACACCCACGCCCTCGCTGCCTGTGTACGGCACTGCGATGGGCGGTAGCTTGCTTGACTTGCCGGATCTGCTGCTGCCTGCGCTGGATGCCTTTGAATGCTGCCTGCGTGTGGGTTTCTGTGCTGCTTGCCCCTCTGTCTGCCCGTCTTCCTGCTCCTCCTCCCGCTGTTGTGCTTCAGTCAAGTGCATCGGCCCGTTCACCCACCCCTTGTACGCCCCTGTCTCCCTCACCTTCGCAACCCATTCCTTGCCCTGCACATGCTGCTTACTCCCTTCCCCTCCCCCCTCCCCCCCACCACCGCCACCACCATCACCACCTAACCCCTCTCTCAACCCCCCTTCCTCCCCCTCCTCCAATCCCCCATCCTCTCCCTCAACCGCACTCCCTCCACCCCCCTCCTCCGCCTCCTCCTCCTCGAAATCAGGATCCACATACTCATGCATCAGATGGTCCTCGCCCTCCTCCCAGTACCTGTCCTGAGCGGCCCTATACAGCCCCTCCCAGTCCAGGTCCCTATCACCACTGTCCGTCTCCACATCATAGTTGTACTCCTGTCCGAACGGGTCTGCCTGCTGCCCTGCGCGCAGGCGGTCCTGCAGCACCACGCGGTGCACGCCCAGCTCGTCGCACCCTGCTGGGCCTTTCTCTGACACGGCTTCTGTACCATCCCAGTTGTTGAACGAGCCTACCAGCGCACAGCGCGTTGCGCCTGTTGTGCGGGTGGGGAAGAGATGGAGCAGAGTGGGTGAAGGGGAGGGGTTGGTGGGCTTGAGGGATAACAGTGGTATGACGGGGGTTAGAAGTTTCAGGGTTTAGGGTTCAGGCACCATTGTGGGTTTCGTAGAACAAGGGCGCATAGGGTGATGAGGCCTGAGAGAAGTGGCACTGAATTCTCCTGTGCAGCATGATGCCATGACTTGCCATCACATGGCATGACATAGCATAGTGCGGTGACAATGACACATGGCTTGGTGGCATGGCATGAAATGGCATGGCATGGCATGGCACGGCACGGCATGGCATGGCATGGCATGGCACGGCATGGCATGGCATGGCACGGCATGGCATGGCATGGCACGGCATGGCATGGCATGGCATGGCACCTGGCGCCCATTCATAGAGCTCGATGCAGTGCCACGGATGGCGGTGCAGCCCCATCATCTTGTGCCTGCACCCACCAGGGGAGACGGGGTTCAGCGGCAGCCAACAGGTGGCAGAGTAGGACACAGCAAGAGAAAAATTCGAGTCAACATGCGGTAGCAGGTAAGGGAGTGCAGGAAAAAAAGGCGAGCGCGACGAGGCGGTCACAGGGAGAGAGCTCAAGAACATTGACGGCACAGCAGTAGGCGCCAAAGCAGTTTAAGCCGTTTAAGCAGTTTAAGCCGTTTAAGCCAGAGTTGTTGACTTGACGCACGCGTTGGCGAGTTCGAGCAGGTCCTCGTCCTCCTCGTCGATGTACTGCCGCAGGTCCTTGAGTCGCTTGTACCGCGCGCGCAGCTCTCCCTCAAACGCCTTCAGCGACGGGTCGCTCGCCACGATCCCCACCGGGTCGATCCGCGCCTTGCCCTTCTTCCCCCTGCCCTCGCGCCCTGCGCCGCCACTGCCGCCTGTGCTCCCGCGAGCATGACCGCCGCCGCCACTGCTGGTGAGCGGCTTTTCTGGCGGTTCATCGGGAGTTTTTGAAGGGGATTTGCCTCCCGCAGTTGTGCTGCCTCGCTCCGCCCGTTCAGATGCTGTTGGGAGTGGGAAGGGAGAAGAACGAGGAGAGTGGCAACGAGGGTGCGGTGCACAGCAAGAGGACGACGAAAGGAAGGAGAAAAGGGATGCGTGGGCATGCAGCGGCAGTGCTGGTGAGCTGTTAGTACCTACCTCCTCGATCTTCCGATCTGCTCTGCTCTTCGATTGGTTGAGCCGGTCCTGAAACCCCACCCTCTCGCAACAACTCTGCTCGGCGCGCTGCTTCTCCGCTGTCAGTTGCGGATGATGCTGCTGCGGCTGCTGCATCCCTGCCTCCTCTGTCCGACAATCCCGCGTCACCAATTCTAGGTTTCTTCCCACCTGCGCTTGAGCCGACTATATGCTGTGTCCGGTTGCCCCCTACTTCGCTGCTGCCTTCGGGACCTTTTGCACCGTCGATCCGAGCTGCTCGATGAACGACACGTGTCACTCGAGTGGCTACCTGAACGCTGACAGGATCTCTCAAGGTGGAGGTGGGGTACCGGGGAAGGAAAAGCGGAACGCAAGCACCGTGTGGGCGCAAAAGGCCAGCCATCGCGGATTGCAACACAGCGAGTGAAAGAACCAAAAGTGGGTACGATGACCCGATTAGCGCGCTGGGATCGACTCTTGCAAACACCGTTTTCACGATCGACCCAAGAGCTTGAAGGTTTGGCTTCGTCGCATCGCAACCATAGCACGATATCAAATTGCACAAAAGGCGCAAATCTCCTCGTTTGCAGTTGCGCACACAAGCTTCGTGTCGGCCATGCCCCACTTCGGGCTCAATGCAGAAAAAATCCGCGTTTTGATCTGTACTCACCAGAAAGAATGAGCTGGAATATGCTATCAACTAGGATGTACCCTTATCCTAGTACCTCACAAAAATTAGGTACAGTTCCTAGACCATTATGAAAATATATAAAACGATTTAATAGCAGCAGATTCGGTCACTACCAAGGGTACAAGAATATATATGCCAGGCCCTCAGATTCGTTTTTTGCCTGTCTGATTCATCAGACTAGTACAAAAATTTAGTGTGAAACCCTCAGAGACGGTTTTTAAAAAAACTGAAATGTCAGAGTGCCTTAGAAAAAGAGTCTTAAACATCAATGTATATAATGTTTCATCAGAAATGTATTCAATGTTTCATCTGATATCGAAACATGCTAGAGTAGGGGGATTTTCGGGAGAACATGCTATGAGAGGGCGAATTTCTGTGTCAGGGCGAATTTTGTAGTGTGAACGGGCGAATCTGCAATGTCAGGTGAAATTTCAAGGTGATTGGTCAAAATTTTTGTGCTCTGACGGCGCAAATCCGTTGTGTCAGGGCGATTTTGTTATGATTGGGTGAAAAATCTGTGATGTAAGGCGCAGATTTGCTGTTTCAAGCCGATTTTGCGTTGACTTTGCGAATCGGGAAATGATCAGACTGGGGCACCAAAGTGTTAGGAATAGAGCCGACTTGGGGCCTTGTGTTTCACGATATGTCGAACCTGGTCCGGACCTGTCTCAAACCAATTTCGGGCCTCACCCACGCGCTCCGTCAGACCTGACCACACAAGGTGACGGATTTCTAAACGGACAAGTTGGCAAAAATTATAAACCCCATACGGGCATGCATCCGGTCAGGGAGGCATCAACCCTAAACACCTTGTCGCATGTTTTTAGGGTTGATGCCTCCCCATTTTTTTGCCATCCTATTGGGTTTTATTTTTTTAACCACTGCGATAATATTTTTGGGCTGAAATGTTTCTTTCTGGGTTATTTCTCTGAAGTATCTGTACTGCCCATTGTGAAAGGGCTGACGATCACTGCTCCCGTGAACCAGGGTACTAGCGAAATCCGTCAAGGCCAAGCCAGCAGGTGGTGACCTGGCGAGCTCGGGCTAGCTGCCTAGGCTTGTGCGTTGCTTCGGGCCTTCTTCGTAGGGTCGCGAATCACGAGGCCCCAAGTTGGCCATCTTTCTGCTAATCCGAGGCCCCAATATGATCATTCCCCTTGCGAATCTGCTGTGACTCGTGAAGTCCGAACCGAATCACCAGTCAAGAACGCAAGCAGAAAACGGAAACGGTACGCGTTTGTACTCTGAGTGATCAGAGTACACTCCCGGAAAACTCTGAAACGTGAGAGTTATCTTTAAAATTTCTCTGAAAATTACAGAGTTGGGGCCCTAAAATCTCTGGTTTTAAAACCCGCAGCCTGAATTACAAAAAAAGTTGGGAGGTGTTAACACTTTCCCTCCCGAACCAGGGTGGTTACCAGTTGTGCACGGGCAAAACGCGATGAAGTCGCAGACCTCACGGAAGTGTCGCTCGGTTCCTGCGCAACCACTCTGGCCTTGGTGTGCACACCAAACTGGAAACCTGTAATTCAGGTTGATAAAAACTGCCTACGGTAGTCCGATCAGCACCAGCGGCAGCCATAGCTTAGAACAGCTAGGCTCCAACATCATTCCAGCCCCAGGCCTCATAGACCCGCCTTACTCGTTAGGACTAATACTCCATTCCTTAGGTGCCAGAGATATAACTTTCTGTCCGCGTTTCTAAGGTGAATCGCCCTACTTCGTCGCATTCGCTTCTTCTCCCCGTAGTCCACACTCCGTCCCACACACGCACTCCCCTCCATCGCTCACGCTTCCTCGCGACAACGAGCACGCTCCCTCCCCTCCCGTCTCCTTCGCGCTCGCTCCATTGTCGCACACGCGCGCTCTGTTTTCTCGTGGATTACAATTCCCTCCCGTCGCCCACGCGGGAGCGCCGAGACCGATCACGCATACTCCCTTCCGTCACCCACGCTCACTTCGTTGCCGCCGCAGACGCGCAATCTCTTCCGTCGCCCCCGCACACTCCGTCAGTTACCTCGGCCCACGCGCACTCCCTTCCGTTGCCCACTCTCAAGACCTTCCCGTCGCCCACGCTCACACCCTTCCCATCGCCTACGCGCAATCGTTCCGTCGCCCACTCTCAATCACTTACCTCGCCCACGCTCGCTCCCTTCCCGTCGCCCACACTCCCTTTCCATCGCCTTCGCGCAATCCTTACATCGCACACGCTCACCCCCGCTCGTCGCACACGGCCAATTCCCTCTCGTCGCACGCTGCCGCCCGCGCCGCGCTCTCCCTTTCAATCTCCTCCCGCCGTCCACGCTCACTCCACTGCCGTCACACACGCACGCACCCTCCCCTCGACGGAGAGGGGGTGCTCCGCTTCCCTCGCATATGCGTTCATCTCCCCATCCCTCATCTCCCCATCCCTCATCTCCCCGTCCCTCATCTCCCCGTCCCTCATCTCCCCGTCCCTCATCTCCCCATCCCTCACCCCCCCATCCCTCATCTCCCCATCCCTCACCTCTCCGGTCTTCCTCTCCCTCTCCCCTCTCCTCTCATTCCTTACCCTTCTCCCTCTCCTCTCCCTCCTCCCTTTCCACTCGCCCCGCCACTCCCGCCGTGCTTCTCCCTCCCCCCATTCCGCCTCGCCCCATTCCGCCCCACCCCATTCCGCCTGACCTCATTCCGCCCCACCCCATTCCGCCTCACCCCATTCCTCCTCTCCCCATCCCCTCCTCATTTTACCCCCTCTTCTCCCCTTCCCCACCTCATCCCATCTTCTCCTCTTTCCGTCCACCCCTCCTCACCCCATCTCCTCCTCTTTCCATCCAGGCATCCTCACCCTATTCCGCCTCACCCCATTCCGCCTCCCGTCCTCTCCCCATCCCCTCCTCTTACTATCCCTCCTCTCCCTGTCTCTCCTCTCCCCATCCCTCCTTATTATCCCTCCTCTTACCATCCCTCCTCTTACCATCCCTCCTCTTACCATCCCTCCTCTCCCCATCCCTCCTCTCCCTATTTGTCCTCTCCCCATCCGTCCTCTGTTCGTTCCTTCCTCCCTACATCCCTTCCTGTTTGCTCCGCACTTCACCTCCCCCTCCCCTCCCCCAATCGCTCTGCGCGGTCTCATTGCAGGGACTCCTCGCATGGAAAGAAGGGGAAAGGGAGGAAAGTACACCCACGCTACGTCTATCCCCTCACCCCGCCCTGTCCTATCCCCTCACCCCGCCCTGTCCTATCCCCTCCCCTCCCCCTCCCGTCCTCTCCCCATCCCCTCCTCTTCCAAACCCATCCCTCCTCATCACATCTCTCCTCTTTCCATCCATCCTCTCCCCATCCCTCCTCTCCCCATCCGTCTTGTCCCCATCCCCTCCTCTCCCCATCCGCTCCAGGTGTTTCCTCCCATCATCACTTCCTCCCATCACCACTTCCTCCCATCACCACTTCCTCCCATCACCACTTCCTCCCATCATCACTTCCTCCCATCATCACTTCCTCCCATCACCATTTCCTCCCATCACCACTTCCTCCCATCACCACTTCCTCCCATCACCACTTCCTCCCATCATCACTTCCTCCCATCATCACTTCCTCCCATCACCACTTCCTCCCATCATCACTTCCTCCCAAGCAAAGCATAGACTAGCTGCGCCTCAGCTTGCTCCTCTGCTTCACCACTGAAAAATAGGGGAGATTGGAGTAGGCAGAAAGATTCGTGTGAAGAAACATGGGGGAGGTGGTGTGAGGTGCAAGGGAACAACGGCAGGGGAATACACACAAGCACACATAATGAAAGCATGTATGGGGAGACACTAATGGGTGCACATGCATGGGTATTAGAGGGCGGAAGGTGAGGAGTGAGGGGGAAGGGTAGGGCATGAAAAGGAAGGGAAGGGTTGTGAACGGCTGGGGGAGGGAAGGGCGGAGCAGGGAGGAAAAGGCAGGGATGGGGAGGGCACGTGGGAACAGGGCAGAGGGTGCAGGAGAGTGAGAGTGCGAGAGGACGGAGGGAGAGAGTGCAGGAGGAAGGAGAGTGGGGGAAGGAGGGTGGGAGGAAAAGGCAGGGATGGGGGTTCCTAGGAGGGAACAGGGCAGAGGGTGGGGGAAGGAGAGTGAGAGTGCGAGAGGATGGAGGAAGCAGGGAAGGGGATGGGGGGAAGCAGGGAAGGGGATGGGGGGAAGCAGGGAAGGGGATGGGGGGAAGCAGGGAAGGGGATGGGGGGAAGCAGGGAAGGGGATGGGGGGAAGCACGGAAGGGGACGGGGGGAAGCACGGAAGGGGATGGGGGGAAGCACGGAAGGGGATGGGGGGAAGCACGGAAGGGGATGGGGGGAAGCACAGAAGGGGATGAGGGGAAGCACGGAAGGGGATGGGGGGAAGCACGGAAGGGGATGGGGGGAAGCACGGAAGGGGATTGGGGGAAGCACGGAAGGGGATGGGGGGAAGCACGGAAGGGGATGGGGGGAAGCACGGAAGGGGATGGGGGGAAGCACGGAAGGGGATGGGGGGAAGCACGGAAGGGGATGGGGGGAAGCACGGAAGGGGATGGGGGGAAGCAGGGAAGAGGACGTGGGGAGCGAGGGAGATGCCGGGGAGAGAGCTGGGGGGAGGACGGTGGGGAGCAGGGCGATTGATGGGGGGAAAAGGGAGAGATGTATGCAGTGTGGGGGTGAAAGGCGATTATTCGGGAGTGGGTAGGGTGCATGTGCAGGTGGGAAAGGGGGCGTGACAAGTGTGCGAGATGAGAAGGGAGAAGGAAGGGATGGCAAGGACAACGAGGAGTGGATGGGAGGGCGACGGGGAAAGAGAGGGCGACGGGGGGAGAGAGAGACGGGGATTGCGAGGGGACGAGCGGGAAGGAGGGCGACGAGCGACAGAGAGGCGACGAGACGAAGGGGGGCAACGGGGGGAAGGGAGCGCGACGAGGGAAAAGAAGGGCGGCAGGCGGACGGGAAGGCAGCGGGAGGAAGGGAGGGCGACGAGACGAAGGGAGGGCGACGAGACGAAGGGAGGGCGACGAGACGAAGGGAGGGCGATGGGCGGAAGGAAGCGCGACGAGGGGAAGGAAGGGCGGCGGGCGGAAAGGAGGGCGACGGGTGGAAGGGAGGGTGACGGGCGGAAGGGAGGGTGACGGGCGGTGACGGGCGGAAGCGAGGGCGACGGGCGGGGAAGCGGCGAGGGCGACAGGCGAGGCGAGGGTAGTAGGCGGGGGAAGCGAGAGCGACGGGCGGGGGAAGCGAGAGCGACGGGCGAGGGAACCGACCTCGACGGGCGGCGAGGCGGCGAGGGCGACGGGCGGGATGAGGGCAGTGGACGGAGAAAGCAAGGGCGACGAGCGAGGGTCGCGAGGTAGGCAAAGCGCTCTCTCATCTCCTCACGCCCATTTTCTCCGTGCTTCGATTGCGTATACAAGCTGCACCTACTAATTCCGGTTGTCTAAATGCCGCTCACTCTAAAACCCTAGCTGGTGTGCGATGGTCGGATATTACTAGCGAGTGAATGAGTATGTTAGCTTTTTCTGTCGCACCAGTTTTTTTATGTTGTTCTTTCCCTCCAGGGTTTGTATGCGGGTTGCCTGCGAACTGTTTGCCTCACGGGAGAGTCGCATCAGGTTTCGCTAACCTGCCACCTTTCGCAATTTCTCCGCACCTCATTTTGCCCGAGCCCCGGACCTACCAAACCAAGCGTTGACTCAGTTTCTGTCATTCAGGTGGCGGGCTTAAAGCCCAAGACCTGAATTACTCAACGGAAGTCAACGCTAAAAACTAGGTTCGGGAGGCAGGCACGGAGAGGCTCGGTTGGTTTGCGAGAGACTTTCACTCGCGAAACCAATTTGGGACAAAAGTTTCTCGCTTCCCATGATGGGTGGGGTCCTTCCCACAACCAGAAAAGCGCGTGCATACCAACTGTGCACAATTTGAGACAGCACGCAGGGTATTAGGCATAGAGCATACATGTAGACAGGGCAGGGCGTCGGCGTTCACTCAAAAGGGATCAGATGCGCCTTAGGATGTGGGTGGCGCCGATTTCGGTGATGACGCGCAAAGCTAGTGTTCACTAGGTAAAGATTTTTGTGTCGAAATGCAGGTTATTGTGCAACTACTGCGTAGCGTAAACTCGCGGCGAAAATCGAATCGCACCTGTTCGCCCAAGCGTGACAATCCCCTCGCCCTCGCCTTTCTTTCCCTAGGTCCCATGCGTCCGCTCTCTGTCGCCGGCGTCGTCGCCATCGCTTCCGCAGCTCGTCGCGTTCGCGACCCCAGCCCGTCGCCTTCGATCCGCCCGTCGCCTTCACTTCCCCCCCGTCGCCCCTACTCCCCCCCCTCCCCCCGCTCCGTTGCCTTCATTTCCCCCTCCCGTCGCCTTCACTTCCCCCTCTCGTCGCCTTCACTTCTCCCCCTCCCGTCGCCTTCACTTCCCCCCCGGAGTGTTCGCCTTCACTTCCCCCCCTCCCGTCGCCTTCACTTCCCCCCCTCCCGTCGCCTTCACTTCCCCCCCTCCCGTCGCCTTCTCTTCCCCCCCTCCCGTCGCCTTCTCTTCCCCTTCCCGTCGCCTTCACTTCCCCTTCCTGTCGCCTTCACTTTCCCTTCCCGTCGCCTTCACTTCCCCTTCCCGTCGCCTTCTCTTCCCCTTCCCGTCGCCTTCTCTTCCCCTTCCCGTCGCCTTCTCTTCCCCTTCCCGTCGCCTTCTCTTCCCCTTCCCGTCGCCTTCTCTTCCCCTTCCCGTCGCCTTCTCTTCCCCCTCCCGTCGCCTTCAATTCTCCCTTCCGTCTGCTTCAATTCCCCCTTCCGTCGCCTTCACTTCTCCCCCCCGATGCCTTCAATTCCCCCTCCGGTCGCCTTCCCCGCATGCCGCACTCGCTTTCCCGCCCTTCACACTTGCTTCCCCACCCGTCGCCTTCACTTCCCCTTCCATTGCCTTTCGCTCTCTCCTGCTCACTCTCCCTGCTCACTCTCTTTCCCACTGCTCACTCTCTTCCCCCCTGCCCACTCTTTTCCCCACCCTTCACTCTCTCCTCTCCTGTTCACCCCCTGTTCTCACCCCTCTTCCCCCCTTCACTCAACCGTTCCCCCCTGCTCAACCTCTTTCCCTCTGCTCACTCTCTTCCCCCCTGCTCTCTCTCTTTAACCCGGCTCACACTCTCCCCCCCCCCCCCTCCCCCCACTCTCTTTCCCCCTGCTCACTCGCTTCCCCCCTCCTCAATCTCTTTCCCCTGCTCATTCTCTTTCCCTCTGCTCACTCCCCTTGTGCTCACCCCACTTTCCCCATTTCTCACCCCTCTGCTATCCCCTGTTTTCCCGGCTCACTCCTATACTCACTCTCTCCTCCCCTGCTCACTCACTTCCCCCCTGCTCACTCTCTTTCCCCTTGCTTACTCTCTTCCCCCCCTACTCACCTTCTTTCCCCCTGTTCTCACCCCTCTTTCCCCCTTTCTCACCCATTTCCCCCCTGCTCGGTCTATTTCCCCCTGTGCTCGTTCCTAAATTCCCCTGCTCACTCCCTTACCCCCTGTATTCACCCATCGTTCCTATTTCCTCTTGTTCACTCTCTCCCCCTCTGCTCTCTCTCTTTCCCCCTGTACTCACCCATTTTTCCACCTTGTTTACTCTCTATTCCCCTTCATTCAACCCTTTTTCCCCCCCAAGTCCTCTCATTTCCCCTGTTCACATCCCTCCTTAGCCCCATGCTTACTGGCTATCCCCTTTGCTTACCCCCTTCTCCACCCTGCTTACTCTCTTTCCCGCTTCGCTCACTCTGCCTAACTCCTCCCATACATGCCCTCCACCTTCACCCCTCGTGTATTCTGCCATATCCCCTCTTCCCTCCCCGTTCCTTCCAAACCCATGCTTGTACATGTTCCCAGGACCATGGGTCCCAACAGGAGTGGGTTGAAAAGTGACCAGCTCCTAGCTTTGTGCTTGTGCTTATTTAGTCTTGTCTTGTCTTGTTTTTTGATGTGGTGTATTATGAGACGCATCCAACCAATATTAATAACAATACACTGTATAGCTATTGTAGACGACTAGTATCATCAAACCCTATACTCATCACGACTGGATGCATGGCAGACCTGCATAGACACGAACCACAAACTCTGATGCACGGTGGGGAACAAAGAATGCACGGAGGCAGAAAATGAGCAAGGGAGACACGGAGGAAGGGCGGATGAGATGATGGGCGGATGAGATGATGGGGGGATGAGATGATGGGCGGATGAGATGATGGGGGGATGAGATGATGGGGGGATGAGATGATGGGGGGATGAGATGATGGGGGGGTGAGATGATGGGCGGATGAGATGATGGGCGGATGAGATGATGGGGGGATGAGAAGATGGGGGGATGAGATGATGGGGGGATGAGATGATGGGCGGATGAGATGATGGGGGGATGAGTTGATGGGCGGATGAGATGATGGGGTGATGTGATGATGGGGGGATGAGATGATGGGGGGATGAGATGATGGGGGGATGAGATGATGGGGGGATGAGATGATGGGGGGATGAGATGATGGGGGGATGAGATGATGGGGGGGATGAGATGATGGGGGGATGAGATGATGGGGGGATGAGATGATGGGGGGATGAGATGAAGGGGGGATGAGATGATGGGGGGATGAGATGATGGGGGGATGAGATGATGGGCGGATGAGATGAAGGGAGGACGGGAGGAAGGGAGGACGGGAGGAAGGGAGGACGGGCAACAGAGAGGGTAAAGAGGGTAGTGAGGCAAAGAGATGGAGGAAGGGAGGAAGGGAGAGGGAGAGGAGGACGGCTGAGGGGGAACGACGGAACGGAGTAAGGGAGGAGGGCAAGAGGTAAAAGTGTGGCAGGGTATAAGGGGGATAGGAGGATCCCTGCACCCTCTCTCCCTCATCCCCGCCTCCCCCGCTCCCCTAACCCGCCCCCTGCAGCACTGCACTCCTTGCTGCCCGCTTGCGCGCGCTGCCCTGGCTATGCCCCCAACACTCTGCTCCAAAGCCTCATCACCACCTGCCATGCGTGCGGGGTTGGTGCGAGAGAGGAGAGGAGGTCAGTGCAAGAGAGAAAAGGGTGGGTGCTGCTGACCACGCACCCTTCCACACCCCACAGCGAACGAGTCACGACCCCTTTCCCAGCTCCCAGCCCAGCCCGCCATACCTCCCCGCCCAGGGTGGGTGAGAGGCTGATGGGGAGGGAGAATGAGAAGAAGGAAATAAGGGTGCAAGGGTGGGGTGGTCACCATGGGCGATGGTAGGAGTAGAGAAGGTGGTAATAGGGAAGGAGTACAACGACGACCCTAAATGCGATGGGAAGGGATGAGAGGGTGGAGACGCGATGGTGAAGAGGGGGAACGTGATAGGCAGGGGAGTGATGACGACGTGGAGAGAGGTGGGAGAGAAGGGAGGTCGACGGTGGGAGGAAGAGGACGACGGTGGGAGGAAGCGTGGCTGATGAGAGGGGAAGCGTGGGAGAAGGTAGGGGGAAGCGTGAGCGATGATGGGTGGGAGCGTAAGCGACAATGGGGGAAAGCGAGGGCGACGGTGAAGGTGGTGACGGGAGGGGGAGCATGGGCAACGACGGAATGAAGTGTGAGCGACAGCGGGAGGAAGCGTGGGCGACGGTGGGGCGAAGCGTGGGGGACGCGGAAAGCGATAGACAACATAGGAGGAGAGCGATCGGAGACGTAAAAGTAGCAACATCGGGCACGGCGACGTCGACGAGAGGAAGCGTGGGTGACGGGACGTGACGTCGACGAAGAAGCGCGGGAGTGGGCATAAAGCTGAGGCAAACATAGGGCGAATGCGCAGGAAATGACAGCGATCGACAGTACGATTCTTATCGACCTCGGAGAGGGAGATGCATGCGCCGCAAACTGGCGTTTGCGCGGTCGCGCAGGGTTTCGACGACGACGCTGAGTAATAAGCGGGCCCATCGCAACACTCTAATCATCATACAGAATTGGTTTCTCCGTCTATTTTTTTTGTGGAGTGGCCTCCGGCTTTATTGGCTCCTCTGTTCTACCTAAGAGTGTGTGCGTGCGTAAGTGTCTTAGCTTGACCTGAATTACAACTATTTTCAAACTGTCAACATCCCAGCTCTATTCCCTTGGGGAGAGAGCGGTTGGGACTCTCGCCAACCAGACCTTTGCTGCTCTACGACTCCCTGCTTTTTTGCGTGGTGTTTTTTGGTAACCAGAGAGGCTCAGGAAGTCAACTGTGGGCTCGGGAGGCAAACTGTGCACAGTTTGCCTTCTTTTTTTTGTAATTCAGATCTTGGGCTTTAACAGAGCTCACTTGAAAAAAAAATTCTGAATTCTCAGAGTCTTTTCATGCAAATCAGACAAATTTCTCTGACTTCTGGGGGCCTGATATATGCATATAGCATTATTTTATATTATATATAAACAGATTTTTGCGTAGTCTAATGACGTTATTACTGTTACACCTATTCGTGCTGCACCCTTGCCATGCTTGTATTTCTTCCCCCCTCTCATTTGAAATATCCATCTTTGCACTCGTAACTTCCCGAGCTCCAAAACCTCGTAGACCTACGTTGACATAGTATTCAAAGGGCCTTCTCTCTCTCTCTCTCTCTCTCTCTCTCTCTCTCTCTCTCTCTCTCTCTCTCTCTCTCTCTCTCTCTCTCTCTCTCTCTCTCTCTCTCTCTTGACTGGGACCAGATCTTTGCTAGCATGTATGCTATGTATGCTGCTGGTGCTAGTGCTAAGGGTGACTGTTATTCTTGTGTGCCTAGATCTGGTAGTATAAAGGCTGTTTGTGTAGATGCTTGTGAGACAGCTAGCACAAGTGCAAATCCTACAGAGGCATTGCTCACCTTCATGCTGGACTGCGGCGCGTCTCGGTGCTTCTTCCGCGACTGCACCACAATCAAAACGCTCCAGCACCTCCCCGGTCACCCTGGCCGACCCCTCCTCTGGATCAGTCGTTGCACGCGGCTCTACTGTTCTCCCGTGTCGGGCAGCCTCATCTGTCTGCCTCGCAGGTCTCTGCCTCCCCTCATTCGCTACGAGCTTGGTGAGTAACGCTCACCTCCAGTATATGATGGTCACCACCATCACTTCTGGGGGCGAGTGCGTGACGATCTATATGGACACGGTGACTGGAGACCACCTTGCTACGTTCACATGTAGGCCTGGGTCTGGACTGTACGCATTGCAGAATGAGTCTATTCAGGTGGCTGCGTCAAGTTAGGTAGCTGCGTCTTGCTCGTATCGGTTACTCACGCACCCGTCCCTCTTCTGGCACCACAGTCTTGGTCACCCCTCCCTGCAGCGCCTACGTTGCATGCACTCGCGTCTCCTTATCTCTAGCCTCCCGCGGTCCCTGCCCCCGCTCTTGCCGTCGCTTACGCCGCCGTGCGCTCCCTTCGTCAAGGGGCGGTAGTGCTTGCTCCTCACTCCTCCTCTTTCCCTCCGACCACTGCCCCTCCGCAGACGCTGTACATGGATGTATGGGGCCCCAACCCCGTCTCTGGGTCACACTGGGGGCACTACTTTCTGCTGGTAGTTGACGACTTCACGCACTACACCACAATGTTTCCCTTAAAGCATAAAGTAGACGTTTGGGTTGTTTTGATTCGTTGGATCCGCGCTGTTCGTGGCTAGCTCAGCGAACAGTTCCGCCAGGACCTCCCGGTGCTCCGTCTGCACTCTGACCGTGGTGGCGACTTTGCTTCCGGTCTCCTTGAGGACTTTTGTCATGAGGAGGACATCACCCAGTCGTTCACGTTTCAGGCCTCTCCACAACAGAATGGGATCGTCGAGCGTCGCATTGGCTTGATCATAGAGGTTGCTCGCACCTCCATGATCCATGCGGCTGCTCCCCATTTTCTGTGGCCGTTTGCGGTCCGATGCGCTGTGCATCAGCTTAACCTCTAGCCCTGAACCAGACACCTCGCCTACCCTGCTTTGGACGGGGGAGGTTGGCGATGCATTGCCGTTTCAGGTCTGGAGATTGCTTGCCCTTGTCCGCGATCCTACCACGGGCAGGCGCTCTCCTCGCACTCTTTAATGCGTCTTCCATCGCTTTCCTCCGACACCCTGCACTTGCAGCTTTACCACCCAGCCACGCGTCGCATCCTATCCTCTTCCGACGTCACCTTTGACGAGTCGGTTTGCTACTACCGTCTCTTCCCCCACCGTAGTTCTTCCCCCCACCCCCCCCCCCCCCCCCCCTCCCTCCCCTCTTCCTGGTTCCATGTTACCCCCCGGTAGGCCCCCTCGCGCCCTACTCCCTCAGGTGTGTCTCATGTCACACCATCCCCCTTGGTTGAGCCTTTGGAGGTCTTCTTAGACCCCTCTGGCCCAGTTGAGGGAGTGACCCTGCTGTTGATGATACAACGGCCTCTCGCCGCTCACCGCGCTTGGAAACTCCTCTTAGTTTTCCGCCTCAACCGTCTTCACCGCCTATGCAGCGTGTCGCTGTGGACTCCGGTGCTTTTGGGAGTGGTGATGCTGGAGGTGCGGGCTTTGGGGGTGCGGGTCCTGGGGGTGGTGAGTCTGGAGGTGTGGGCTATGGGGGTGCTGGTTCTAGGGTTCGTGACTCTGAGGATGCTGACCCTGAGGGTGCTGTCTCAGGGGGCGCTGAGCATCCTAGTGGCGGTGGAGTCGAAGGTATGACAGCTGGAGGCTCTGTGGGTGCGTTGCACCCTCTTCCGCGACGACCCTGGTTTTGGGAGCAATACCAGTCAATGCTGCCACTTCTGGGGTCCGTTGCTGGAGGTTCTGGGGGTGATGGAGCTGGAAGTACAAGAGCTAGGGATGCTGGAGGTACTCGAGCTAGAGTTGCTGGAGGTTCTAGTGCTAGAGGTACTGGAGCTGGAGGTGCTGGAGGTTCTGGTGCTGGAGGTGCTGGAGTTGGAGGAGCTGGAGGTTCTGGTGCTCTAGGTACTGGAGCTAGAGGAGCTGGAGGTTCTGGTGACTTGGAGGTTTTAGATATGGAGGTTTCGGCTATGGAGGTGCAACCACTGAGGGTGTTGGTCGTGCTGGATCTAGAGGTGTTCCTGGTACTATGGAGGAGCTAGTTGGGGGTGCTGCGCGGCTGCTGCACCGGTGACCGTTGTTTTGGAACCTGCCACAGTCATCGCTTCCATCACTTGGCTCAGTATTTCACCAACTTTGACATCTTATGTCTGCCTCTACAGAGCCGTCTACCGTTGGTACTACTCCTCCTCTTCTGTGTCCACGTACTGACCTGTCTCAGACTCACTTATCTGTTGTGCGTACTCCTCGTGCTCGCCGTGTTCGACCTCCACCTATCCCCGGCACTCACAGCATGGCACTTGGTCCTTCCTTTGTTCCACATTGTGTTGCACTGCCGTTACCTCCCTCGTCCTCCCTTCCTGACGTTCCTGGCCATGTATTTGACTTTGCTTGCGCTGCTAGTCCCAGTGTAACCTATTGTCTCGCCACACTTATGACGAACCCTAATTTTTCGTCTGCTGCGACTGCATGAGTCCATGAGCTCGTTGACTTCGCCACTACCTGCCACCTTGACTACCTCGCAAGTCTCGTTTCTAGATGTGCCTGTCCTCCGTCCAACAGAGGTGAGATTGCCCTTGGTTGTGACGTCCTTGAGGACACACAATTTGAGCTGGAGTGCCTCGCGGCTGCTATACTTCATCTCGCTGCCATGCTGCTTTGCCTCTGAGGGAGACCTGGATGCACTGGACATCCCGACCTCACGCTCTTACACAGAAGCAATCACGGGTCAGTACTCCTCTCATTGGCAAATAGTCATGGACGCATAGATGGCATCCTGGAACTCCACAACCACCTACGTCGACGCAATTCCCCCTCCTGTGGCGAACATAGTCGATGGCATGTGGAATTTCAGGGTGAAGCGGCCGCCAGGTTCCCCCCCTGTCCTCAAGGCATATTACGTTGCACGAGGCTTCAATCGTCAAAGGACTATTCTTTGGGTGTTACTGCACATTGTAGCACAACGTCACTACCAGCTGCACTCAATCAGCTTCTCCACAGCTTTCTTGCAGAGCAGCCTTCACGAGGAGATCTGGCTGCGCCGCCCACCAGGCTTCATTAGGTTGGTTCCTGAGGGTACCCAGTGGAGCCTCCGGCGGCTGATCTATGGTCTCCATCAGGCGTCTCGCGAGTGGCACACACTGAGGACGACACTAGCGGCTCTTGGCTTTGCTCCTTTGACTGCCGACTCGTCGTTGTTTCTTCGCACCGTCTCTACTCTGCCGCCGTTCTACATCCTCGTGTGCGTGGACGACTCGGTCTTTGTGACTGCTGACACTAAGACACTGGCCCTTGTGCAGGCGGAGCTTAACTGGTTTAGCGGTAGTGCTATCTTTGCTTGCAGATCACCTGGGACATAACATCGTGCACCATCACCCTGACTCAGTCACGCATGGTGCAGCAGGTCCTTCAGCACTTCCGCTTTCAGTTCTCCACACCACAGTCCACTCCTTTGCCTATGGGCCACTCGCTCTTAGCTCCAATTTTGGACGAGTCTGTAGAGCCAAGTCGTCCGTATCCAGAGCTTGTGGGTTGCCTCATGTGCCTGATGACGTGCACTCGACCTAACCTCGCGTACCCACTCAGCATCCTGACATTCTACGTTGCGTCCGGGAGACACCGCCCTGCGCACTACATGCCAGCTACAAGAGTACTGCGCTACTTGGCCAGTACACCAGAAATAGGGCCTGTGTTTGAGGGACGAGGCCAAGTTGTGCTCACTGGGAACTCAGACGCTTCGTGGGCCGAGGACCAGGCAACTCACAGGTCTTCACAGGGCTACATTTTGAGCTCGGCACTGGCTCTGTCTCGTGGAGGTTCAGTTGCTCGTCTTTTATGCTTAGCTCCAGTTGTGAGGCTGAGATCTGCCCTGGAGCTATGGCTGCGCAGTAGTTACGCTGGCTGAGCGGCGACATTCTCCTCCAACACTGTTCGTCGACAACAAGGCCATGATTGGCTTGTGTTGCGAGCACAGACTGGAGCACAAAACGAAGCACATTTCTCTTCATTACTTTCTCGAGGAAGAGTTACAGCAGCGTGGTCGGCTTCGCCTTGCTTACGTAGCCTCAAAGACCAACGCTGCTGATATCTTCACCAAGGCCATTGGCTTTGGTGATCATCAGCGTTTCTGTACTGCGCTTGGCCTTGTGCCTACTCTGCCTCACTTGTCTCTTAATCTCGCCTCGCACTTATTGTACACTCCTATATATATGTACCTGCATGTTTAGACCTGCTAAGTTGTAATATTTGTACCGCTATTGCTGTTAAAATATTGCATGTGAACTGGCCTTGTGGCCGCTTGCTTGTGCTCAAACTGTGTGGAGATCTTGAGATCCACCCTAAGCTGTGTTTTGTTTCTTTTCTTGACTGGTGTTGTGACCATGTGTTGTTCTTGCTATCCCCCACTTCGCCTATCGGGGGCTGTCAAACTATATATTTGTTAGTTGTGGGCTGTAGTGGGGTAGCCATATAAGGTACAACACTTTTTGGTTTAGTACTTGTATCTCTATTTTGTCATAGTCAAACATTCCCATTGCCTATAATCTTAACAAGCCTTCTCCCTCTTTTCACATTGGTGCCTTCCTACGCAGCTTCGTTGAGCCCCGTCGCGACCCCTTTTCGACTGCTCCGTCGTGGCCCTGTCGCGGCGCCGCAGGCCTTGTCGTAGCTCTCGTCGATGCCCCCGTTTCGACCCTTGTCGCGGTTCTTGTCGCGACCCACGTCGAGGCCCCAGTGAGCCTGCAACGCCAGTCGACGCCCAACCTGTCGCCTTGCTGTGCCTGAGACTATGGGGGGAAGGTTGCGAGGGTGAGGGCTGTGAGCCTATAGCATTAGACGCTGTGGGGGGAGGTTGTAGGGATCGCGGTGGCCATGATGGACGATGAGCATGCCCCTCCTTCTCCTCCTTCCCCAACCACTCTCTCGTCTAACAAGAGGACGGAAAGAAAGTACCTGCATGCTAGCATACTCATTGTCCTGCCCCTCTCTCTCACTCTCTCTCTCTCTCTTGCTCTCTCTCTCTCTCTCTCTCTCTCTCTCTCTCTCTCTCTCTCTCTCTCTCTCTCTCTCTCTCTCTCTCTCTCTCTCTCTCTCTCTCCTTCTCTGTCTCTCTCTGAGCACCTGTCGCCGCTGCATCTACTACCGTTGCATTTGCCACCGCTGCACCTGTCACCGCTGCACCTACCTGCCCCTGCATCTTCTACTGCTCATTTCTCTGATTTTGCCTTCTCCTGCTATGGCGATGTACCCCTTCAGGGAGTGTTCTTGCTCTAGTTCCTACGGCAAGTAGTATAGGGGATGTGAATCTCTCATGGCTATAACTGTCAGCTTACACATGTATTGTTTTGTATGTGTACTTTGTAGGCTAGATAGTTTGAAAATATATGGCAATATGCTAATGTTAGTGCCATGGTTAATTATTAAAAATAGCAGTCGATATAGTCCTAAAAAATGATAGAAAAAAACAAACACATAGGGTAAATGGTGATATATCTATCCCCCTAGTGTGCTCTCATAAATTCATCGATTCAAATCGTAGCATAGTATCATATTACATTAGTTTTTTCGCTTCCGCCCCATCTACCTCCCTAGCTGCCCTCGTGCCCTCACGCCCCCCCACCTTTAGGGCTCCCTCTGGTGCCCTTCCCTCCCCTCCCCCCCCCCCCCCCCCCCCTCCCCCCTCTCCGCTAACGCCCCATTGTGCCCTACCGCCTTGTCCTGCTGCGCCCAGCCACGCGCCTGCCGCGCCTTGCGGCACGCCCTGACGCACGCCTTGCCGCGAGCATGCCACGCGCGTGCCGCGCGCCTACCGCGCGCATGTCGCGCGCCCTGCTGTGCCCTGCCGCGCGACGTGCCGGGCCCTGCGCCCGCTGCGCGGCCTGTCGCGCGCCCTGTTGCGCTCCTGCTGCATGCCTGCCGTCGCGCCCTGCCGCTGCGTTTACCGCGCCCCCTGCTGCCGCGCCTGTCGAACCTGCCGGTCGCACCTGTAGTTGCGCCTGCCAACTGTGCCTGCCGCCGCACCTACCACGCACCTGCCACCACACCTATCACATGCCTGCCGCTGTGCCTGGAGCCACTGCCGTCACACCACGAATGAAGCCAACCTAAACGGTACTTACCGTATGGCCCCGACTAAAAGTGCCGTCCTATTGAAGGCGCCCGCGCTAATGGTCGGAACTTAATTATAAGTGCCTCCCTTGTAAAACCCTGATTTATTATAAGCGCATGCATGATTCTATTTTAAAATCCCGTCTAAGATGGTAACGACTTCCATTTTTGTAACGAGTCCACATTGATTTTCAATTCGTTCGACTCTCGAGGCCCTCACTGGCTGCGCGTCCAGTCAGGATGAGCTGGCACGTCTGCAAAGTGACGTGCCTTTGACCTTGTGCGCCGGCAGAGAATGGCCCACGTGTGATTCTGATCCCTGCCGCTCTAAAAATTGGACTCGCTTGTTTGTAATTGCAAGAATGAGATGTACATGTTGGTCTGTTTAAAATATACTCAAAACTCATTCAGAAGCGCCCCCCCCTTTAAAAAACTGACTGTATTATAAGCGCACATGCGCTACTATCCGGGGCCATACAGCACTACATATTTCAATAAGGATTATAATGGCGTTTAAAGATACTATGGTATCATAGAAGGCAACCAGGATTGGGCTTCCAGCAGGCCCTCGGATTCGTTTTAGACTCCTCAGGCTCACTTTGCATGGCATTGCAACCTAGCAAAAGGTAGTCATTTCTGGGTGGCAGTAATTTCATGGAAGATAAAAAGAGAAACATTTCGTCGTGGTAATTAACCCTTGGCAGTACTGCACTAGCAATTGATCTCCACACCCATGGCAGCTTGTCGGGCAGCAAGGGCTCTCTTTGAAAAGAAGTAGCGTGTGGGAGGTCGATTCTTGAGGCGCCTCAGCAACTGCGGCAGTTTGAAGGCCAGCAGCAGCAGCACCGCCAGTGGAAGCAGCATCAGCAGCAGCAGGTTTTGGGGCGCCTGGAGAGCAGACAGAGTCACCCCCACGGCTGCAATGCCTGGTGGTTCAGAGGGTGGGTTGGTGCATGCAGGGTGGATACGGAGAGGAAGGAGGTGTGGGAAAAGGTGATGCGTGTGTAAATTCAGCATATTAGGTGGAAAGCAAGAAGGGATGCCAGCAAGCAGGCATGTTGGCAAGCAAGCATGTGTGCAAGCAGACATGTGTGCAAGCAGACATGTGTGCAAGCAGACATGTGTGCAAGCAGGCATGTTTGCAAGCAGGCGGGTTCGCAAGCAGACACGTGTGCAAGCAGGCATGTTTGCAAGCAGGCATATATGCAAGCAGGCATATTTGCAAGCTGGCGGGTTTGCAAGCAGGCAGGTTTGCAAGCAGGCATGTTTGCAAGCAAGCATGTTTGCATGCAGGCATATTTGCAAGCAGCCATGTTGGCAAGCAGGTATGCTGGCAAGCAGGCTTGGGAAGACAAGATCCAGCTTGGACGAGCTCATGGCTGAAAAGTAACAGAAGAAGAAAGCAGGAGCCGGCTAGTGACAGAATTTAGCAGCTGGCACAACTTGAGGCAGCAGGCGGCATACCATGAGGGACGCACGTGCCAGCAGCAGTCCCTGGCGTGTACCCCTCATCACAGTCGCACTGGCCCTCAGGTTCACGTGCACAGTAGGGTGGCGGCAGCTCATGCTCAGCCTCACAGGCAGACATGTCGTAAGAGTAGTCACGCACAAAGGAGCACACGCCATGGCCGCTGCACGGCGGGGTGAGCGGCTGCGCCCCGCAGAACGCCCGGCACTCGCTGCCATACCTCTGGTTCTGCCAACTGGCGCAGGAGATTGCGTCGTTTTCAAGGCAGTTGTGGTAGAACAGACACCAGCTGTGAGATTCTGAAGGGCTGTCTAGACTGGTGCCGTTGAAAGGGAAAGGGTCTGCTGTGGATGTGAGGTAGTTGTGGTCTGCAGACAGTCCGTATTGCGAAGTGAGACGGGCTATGTGGTGGAAGGAGGGCAGCTCTCCCGTAAGCTGGTTGTTCTCAAGGTGGCTGTGATGCCAAGGGAAGGTGGGGAGGGGAAAAGGTGGGAGTGCAGAGGTTGGGAATGGGAGTGTATGGAAAGAGGGACTGAAGGTAAAAGGGAGTGATGAAACAGTAGTAGGATTTTGAGCTGTTGAATCTTGAGTCGTCGAATCCTATTTTCATTTGCCAGCGCTGTATAGATGATTGGCATTTTCAAGTATCAGTAAGACATGGCTCTACAGGAATGATTGTGGACTCAGGAGGGGAGGGAAGGAATGGATAGCATTCAGGATGAGGCTGACACACTTCAAGATGCGGCAAGCAGAAAGGAGGAGACGCACGGGTGGCAGGAAACGAGCTAAAGCGAGCAGTAAGGGGTGACGTTTCACAGAAAAGAAGGGATGGGGAGTTCTGATAGTTGTTGGAGATGAGTGCAGTTGGTGACTCGACAGACATGCATTTTGAGTCGACTTGGCAGGCAACACTACCAGGTTGCTTTTAAGACTACTCAAAGACTCCACCATTCAAGGATCACACTTGGGTGTCGGGACGACCGAGGCGGTAACACTGACAGGATTTCGAGATTAGTGAGTGTGGTGATTGCAGCAGGTATCGTCCCAGCAAGGTGATTGGCGTTGAGCATCCTGAAGACAGGTGGATGAATGGACATGAATTGAAGGAGAGACGAAGAGCGGAAGAGGTGAAGAGGAGAAGAGACGAAGAGTGAAAGTTGGGACGAGGATAAGAGAAGAGGGGAGGAGGAGAGGGGGAGAGGAGGAGAAGAGGAGAGGAGGAGAGGAGAAGTGGAGGAGAAGTGAGGAGGTGTGGAGGATAAGAAAGCAGATATGGTGCCTTGGAAAAGTATGAGTGCTGTTGCTGAAAGGTTTGTGCCTTGAGGAACACAGACCTGCAGATTCGACGGGATTCAAGTCAACAAAAAGTGCCTCCCCACTCTCCTATTCATTGCGTTCGAATCCCCTCAGTCCCGTTCCCTCCCTCTAATTCCGATCCTCATCCTACCCACACTCTCAAACCCCCAATGCTTGGCAAAGAGAGGCAGGCAGAAAGAAGGCATGGAGAGCGGAGAGGGGGACGGGGGGGTGGAGGGAGAATGGGCGCACAGGCTGGTGAGTGCGGTGAGGTGGGTGATGCAGGCTGGAATGGTGCCACTCAGCCTGTTGCAGTGGAGGTCCCTGGCATGGCATGGCATGGCATGGCATGGCATAGCATGGCATGGGATGATGGGATGGGATGGAATGGGATAGGATGGATTTTGATAGGATCAGGCCCATAGGTTGGTTCTGGAGCTGGAGGAAAAACAGAGTTCTCACACAGATTTACGCTGGAATTTAGCAAAGAATTGCGGAAAAGGCCGATAAATCTGCCCTGGCACAGACTTAACCTGTGTACAAATGCTGAAATTTGAGGGCCTGGACGTGATTGGATGGGATGTGATGTGAAGGGATGGAATTCTGTCACTGAGTCACTCACTCTTTCAACCCCTCACCCACTCACCCGCTCAAACTTTCACCCACACGTCATTGACTCGCCCACCCTCTTTCGGCCTCTCACTCTCCCTCTCACTAGCTCACTGAGGGGGACCTATCAGGCTCCACACCTGATCACCCCACAGCACCTTGCATGCCTGCCCCATCACCACTCACAACTCCTGCAGCAGCTGCAGGCTGCTGATTGCGTCCGGAATGGAGCCTGAGAGACCGTTGTCAAAGAGGCTTCTGAAGATGGGAGGAAGGTGGCGGATGGGGGAAGGCAGATGGTTGGAGGCGGAGAGGGGAAGGGTGGCAAGGGGAAGGGGCGGCACTGGAGGTAAAAGGCAGGAAGGGCGATCATGAATAAGAGAATGGAAGGGGAAAGCTGAAGTGGTGGATGGATGGAAGGAAGCAGTGCTGTTTTAGCTATCCGAAGCATTATCGTGTAAAATGATGGTGCGATGTCATTCTTTTATAGCTGATGCTACGAGAAGTTTAAATGCCGTTATGGTAACTTGATGCTTATGAAGGAGATACAGGAGATGAAGGTTGGAGGAGAATGGGAGAAAATGCAGTTGGGAAGAGGGCAGGGAGAGAGATGGGATGGGATGGGAAGGGATGGGAAAGATGGATTGTGGGTTGGGATGGGATGGGAATGGGATGGGATGGGATGGGACGGGACAGGACGGGACGGGACGGGATGGGACGGGACGGGACGGGACGGGACGGGATGGGATGGGATGGGATGGGATGGGATGGATGGGATGGATGGGATGGGATGGGATGTGATGGGATGGGATGGGATGGGACGGGACGGGACGGGATGGGACGGGTCACGGGACGGGATGGGATGGGATGGGACGGGACGGGAGGGGATGGGACGGGACGGGAGGGGATGGGATGGGATGGGATGGGATGGGATGGGATGGATGGGATGGGATGGGATAGGATGGGATAGGATGGAATGGGATTGGATGGGATAGGATGGGTCGCACAAGTGGCAACATGAGCTACAACTCCCCATCACCACTCACAAATCCCTTAGCTGCTTGAGGCTGCTGATTGCCTCTGGAATGGAGCCTGAGAGACTGCTGTTGCTCTGAAGTTTCCTGGAGCATGAAGAGGGTGGGCGGAGGGCGGAAAGGGGGAGGAAGGTGAGGAGATGAGCGGAGAGGGGAAGAGAGGCGAGGGAGAAAGAAAGAAGAGCCACTGAATGCAAGGAGGTGGAAGGAAGGGATGATCAAGGGGAGTGAGTGGTAGGCAGAACGCTGAAGTGGACGACCTACAAAGCTGACTGCAAAGAATGTAATGTTTTTTACATGCACTGTGTTGTGACCTTATGGTAGATTCCTGCTTATCATGCAGAGAAGACAAGCTAAGGGCGTAGGTAGAATGGGAGAGAGCGGGCGGAGAGAGTGGGAAAGAGGGGGATGGAGAGACAATGGGAGGGAGGGGGATGGAGAGAGAATGGGAGAGAGCGGGATGGAGAGAGAATGGGCGCACAGGGTGGTGAGTCCAGAGAGGTGGGTAATGAAGGCGGGAATGGTGCCACTCAGCCTGTTGCCGTGCAATTGCCTTCCGTGTGGTGGCATTGAGGGCATGGGATGGCATAAAAAGGCATGGCATGGCATGGCATGGCATGGCACGGCATGGCATGGAACGGAACGGAATGGCATGGCATGGCGTGGCATGAAATGGCACGGGAAGGCATGAAATGGCATGGCATGGCATGGGATGGCATGAGATGGCATGGGATGGCATGGGATGGCATGGGATGGCATGGGATGGCATGGGATGGCATGGGATGGCTGCTCGTCACAGTGGCGGATGTGGTGCATGCAGTGCATCCAAAGCACCCAGCAGTAGTGGAGGCACACGAGGCACGCCATTGGAGAAGCTCCGAAGGAAAACGAAAAGAACAGAAGAGAAAAGAAAGGAAAAGAAAAGAAAAAACAGAAAACTATCTCCATCCTATTCACATCCCCCTATTAACGATCCACATCCCACTGCCATACAGATTGTGCAGGTTGGTGAGCGCTCCTATTGCCTCGGGGATGGACCCTGAGAGCTCCTTCTCCTCAAGGACTCTGCGATCACGTGCGGCGCAGTGCGGTGAAGTGTGGCAGAGAGAGGAGCAGTGGCAGTGGAGCGGTGGAAGTTGGGTGTGCGAAAGTTGATGACGCATGGACTCACATGCACCAGGAGTGCATGTGTCTGCAGTGCATGTGTCTGCAGTGCATGTGTCTGCAGTGCATGTGTCTGCAGTGCATGTGTCTGCAGTGCATGTGTCAGCAGTGCATGTGTCTGCAGTGCATGTGCCTTGCAATGCCTACCCCACCATCACCACTCACAACTTCCTTAGCTGCTTGAGGCTGCTGATTGCCTCTGGAATGGAGCCTGAAAAGTTGTTGCGCTGGATAGCCCTGATGCATTGAGACGGTTGGGGGCGGAAACAGGGTGGGGGGAAGCGCAGAGAGGGGAGGGGAATTATTACTGAGGGAATGCCAGAAGGGAAGGTATGGGTAAAGAAGATGAAAGGGAGTTGAAGAAGCAATGGGGAGCAGGAGAGAGTTACTCTTACATGCAACTTCTGGAATGGGATGATGGGCAAAGAAGATAGGTGAGATAAGAAAGGGGTGACAAGGGCACGCTTTTTATGGAAAAGGATGTTCAAGTGGGGAGTTGTGCACGGCATGGTGCATGGCATGGTGCATGGGATGGTGCATGGCATGGTGCATGGCAGCACGCACAGTGAAGTCAAGTCTGTGAGGCTGAAGATCCACGCAGGCAGCTCCCCGGACAGATAATCATGATTTGACACGTGCCTGACGATGGAAACAGCACACAGAGAAGGCAGTCGTGAGAAGAGCAGTCAAGACAAGAGGCAGGGAGCAGTCAAGAGGCAGGGAGCAGTCAAGAGGCAGGGAGTAGTCAAGAGGCAGGGAGCAGGGAAGTTGCAGGAAGAAGGGGTATGAGGAACCCACGAATAGGCGTGCGAGGATGGGCAAGATGAAAACGAAGAGCGAGAATTGAAGAAGTGAGAGAGCATGGCAAGAGGTGGGAGCATGAGAATTCCCCTTTCATGCTGCAGTGTCATGCACAACACTTCACAAGCCCTTCAGGCTTCGCATATCCAGTAAGGTGCCATCCCATGCCATCCCATGCCATCACATGCCATCACATGCCATCACATGCCATCACATGCCATCACATACCATCCCATGCCATCCCATGCCATCACATGCCATCACATGCCATCACATGCCATCACATGCCATCCCATGCCATCCCATGCCATCCCATGCCATCCCATGCCATCCCATGCCATCACATGCCATCACATGCCCCTCACCCGGCCTTACAGAGACTGCAGCTTCTGCAGCTGGGAGAGCTGCTCTGGTAGTGAGTCCAGTAGATCGTTGCCGAACAAATAGCTGCTTGCACCATGCATGCACCATCCATACACCACGGATGTGGAGGGTTTAGAGACATCGGAGGGTGCTGCAGGGGAGAGGGACTATTGACCAGAGGCTGTTGACCAGAGGCTGTTGACCAGAGGCTGTTGACCAGAGGCTGTTGACCAGAGGCTGTTGACCAGAGGCTGTTGACCAGAGGCTGTTGACCAGAGGCTGTTGACCAGAGGCTGTTGACCAGAGGCTGTTGACCAGAGGCTGTTGACCGGAGGCTGTTGACCGGAGGCAGTTGACCAGAGGCAGTTGACCAGAGGCTGTTGACCAGAGGCTGTTGACCGGAGGCTGTTGACCGGAGGCAGTTGACCAGAGGCTGTTGACCGGAGGCTGTTGACCGGAGGCTGTTGACCGGAGGCAGTTGACCAGAGGCTGTTGACCGGAGGCTGTTGACCAGAGGCAGTTGACCGGAGGCTGTTGACCGGAGGCTGTTGACCGGAGGTTGTTGACCAGAGGCTGTTGACCGGAGGCTGTTGACCAGAGGCTGTTGACCGGAGGCTGTTGACCGGAGGCTGTTGACCAGAGGCTGTTGACCAACACTGTAAGGTTCCACCACTTGCACTCATTCTCTCTCCTCACTCATTCACTTACCTCTCACCCACTCACGCACCCACTCACTCCCCCCCGCACCTACTGCATCCCCCCCCCCCAAGCGCACTGACAGGCGGGTGAGCTGCTGCAGATTGCCCAGCTCTTGCGGAACAGAATCTTTGAGATTGCCGTGAGAGGCGGTGCTGCTGCATTGATGGGCCATGGCAGGCAGGCATGGGAGAGAGGGCAGGGAGGGGAGAATGCAGGGAGGGGAGACGGCAGGGAGGGGAGAAAGGGGACAAGAGGGGAAAGGGGGAGGAAGTGGAGTGGATTTGATGCACCCGAGGAAGGGCATCTGCGGTAGGCATGCAGTTGGGCGTGCACATGCAGGTAGATTGGCGAGATAATAGAGGTTGGCCGATGGAAAACAGGTGGATCACAGTGCTGTGACGACCCGTGGCAGAGAGAAGATGGAGGTGCATGGCAGAATGTAGAACTGACAGGCCCATGGGAGAGGACAGTCTGCCTAGGGTATCGGGGAGCGAGCGAGGGAGTTGATTGCAATGCCCCAATTCCCTGCAGGCAGTGAGGGAAAGAGGAAGGACATTGGGGTGGGCCCAGAATTATAGTTAAGCGGGAGAGGCACAAGAGAGGGTCAATGTGGGTGAGTAGAAGAGAAGCGATCAGTTGAGAGGATAGAAGAGACGGCAGGCAAGCCAGGGCTAGCTGTTGTCAGTCAATCAAATGCAAGACAGTCACGTGCAAGTCCGTCCAAGCGAGGATAAGTCGATATAAGCAAGGACAATTCATTACAAGAAAGGGCAAGTCAGTGGGGGATCGAACGCGTGAGGCCAGTGAGGAAGGGCAAGTGAAATAGGATTCTCACAGATCCTTGAGATGGGACAATGCGAGGAGAGCCGTGGGCAGGGGGCCGACGAGGGCGCACCTTGTGACGAAGCTGTGGGAGGAGAAGGATGGCATGGAGGGAGGGAGAACTGAACTCGAATAAAATACCGGTTTCTTATATGTGAAGGAAACGGAATGAGAGTGCAAGGGGGCAGGGTGTACAATGCGATGACATGCTTACATTGCAATGACATGCTTACAGTGCAATGACATGCTTACATTGCAATGACATGTTTACAGTGCAATGACATGCTTACAGTGCAATGACATGCCCATCACCATCACACTTCACGTGATCCATGCTGTCGCAATCCCTGCCCCTCATCCATGTGCTTGCATCCCGCACCTCGTTCCATTCATGTGCTAGATTCGTCAAAGCTTCCACTGCCATGCATCCAGGACATCCACCCATGCCATGCACCCATGCCATGCACCCATGCCATGCACCCATGCCATGCACCCATGCAATACCACCCATGCAATACCACCCATGCAATACCACCCATGCAATACCACCCATGCCATGCACCCATGCAATACCACCCATGCCATAACACCGCAAGTCAGCATGTCATGCCACAGAACGTGTTGGAAACATTCCCAGGGGGGCCGAGACGCGAAAGGAACAAGGAGAGGGTAGAGGGATTGAGGTGGGATGGCAGGATGCGCACGCACAGCCATCAGCAACGATGCTGTTGCCGCCGGTGCGGAGTTCATGTTGCATGCGGAATAGGGTAACGGTCCTGGGTGCCAGTATGGCGCACGGTCGCCGTGGCATTACTGGTCCCAATAAAGGCTTACTCTCGGCGTCCACCACGGGAGCAGCGCGTGCGAGGGGCATGCAGCAGCGGGCCACCACCAGCGCCACCACCGCCGCTCTCGCCGCCATCATGACGCCGCCGCACCTCCTCATCGCCGCGGCGCAACCGTGACATCCCATCGATAGTACCGCGCGCGTTGTCGAACTGTCACGGTGTGCTTGTTGTCGAACCGCGTGACGCGCTGCCGTCGCCCGAACGCCCTGCACGCACGCGGCCTTTGCCCGCGTGATCCGCGCGGTGTACTGTTCTGTTGTTTTGCGTCTTTCACGAGTCGTGAGCCGTTTGCATGTGCGCAGTGCGGGAGATCGAGACTCTTGAGCACAACAGAATCTCTAAGCCGTTTCTGGAGAAGTTGACTCCAGCTGCTACCAAAGGGCAAGTGGTTGGTTACGTGCATATCACTTGCAATCTCGTCCTTGTCTAGGTCTCTCGCAGGAGTCTCGGGAAACACTGACGCGGGGAAAGTGCAGTGCGATGAGGAGGGATGGTGCAATCAACCAGCTTGTTGCTCGGTTGGATCGCGTGGTGTTCGGTTGCTCCATGCTAACTTCCTCCAGATCGCAAGCTTGCTTCCTCACCAAATGTCGCCGTTTCATAACCCATAAAATCGCTCCAGACCTTTGCAAAACTTCTACACCGCACAGCATTCTCGGCGTTGTTTGAATCGAAGCTCTGAAGAGATTGAAGACTTGGGCTGACCCATGCGGTTGGTGGCGAGGTCGAGGAAGGTGACGGTGCGGAGAGGAACGCGTTACAGTAAAATCTCCGTCAAAACGATTTAGGTTTTGAGAACTTTGTGTGTATTCAATACAATATCAAGATGTCATCCTATCCTAGTCACTCCCTAGCTGTTATTGGAAAAGCCGCAACAGAAGAAAGGAGAGATCCTTCTCTCCGACAGTGGCAACCTGCTGCGTAGACGATGGTTTTTTGGTGGGAGAAGCGGGATCGCCGCTCACACGGCTCAGACTAACGGTGCTACGCGAAAAGGGGAGAGGCGCTCCTGTGAAGAGGCTGAGGGCAGTAATGAAAGGGGTGGTGGAGCAGCCAAAGCAGCAGAAAAAAGTGGGAACAAGAATACGGCAGACTCATCAACTGGAGAGAAGCCATACGGAAGCGGGACTCTGTGGTCACGCCGGATAGACCGCGCGAGATTATTTTGTGGCTACACAGCAAGAACCTCCAGGTGGGGGGAAAGATTGAGGTTCATGAAAGATCCCATCGGCTGCCCACACTGCGAGCAAGACGAAACCCTAGCGCACTGCCTGCTGGAGTGTGTCAGCATCCAGCCTGTCATCGGCGCGCTTAAGGGGGCGCTTCTGCAGATGAATCCAAAAAGGGAGGTGGGGAGGCTGGAAGACTTTCTGTTCGTTGAGGATGGCACAAAGTCGGGTTTCCCGGAAAAGCCGCTGATTGCTGTGGCCTTCCATCAAATATTGGCTGGAGCGATGTGAAGCAGCCTTCCGCCAGGACAAATTTTAACCGCAGAGAGTGCTCCGGAAAATCGGCGTGAACTTCATGAAACACGTCAGGATCTACAGTGCGCACAAGAAGCAGGTGGCAAAAAATGACAGGGAAGGGGCGGTGCAGAGCTGGACCTATCTGGAGCAGGACGAGGCCACGATGCTGGGCCAGATTCTCAAAGACGAAGACACGCTGGCGTAGAGAGAAGGGTTGAGATCGGTGTGGTCCAACCCGAGAACGACCTTTCAACCACCGTAGGCTACTAAGGAAGGCCTGAGTAGACCTCATCATCTATCTGTCCCCTCCCCCCCCTACAGTTACGACTGTGGATGTATCCGCTTTATAGTGAGATGCATCCTTACAAAAAAAAAAGGAAAAGCCGCAAGAGGAGCGTGCAATTGATTGCAGCAATGAGAGAGCAATGCATGAAAAGGATGACTGAAATCATGACATGCAATCAGGAGAGCCGTAGGTTCACAATAGGGTGGCGGTGGCTTATCCTCCTCAAAGGCACTCATCTGCTCAGAGGGGTCAGGCAGGCTCGAAGGAGCACACGCCATGGCCTCTGCACGGCGGGGTGAGCAGTTGCGCTCCACAGAACTCCCGGCACTCGCTGTCACGCCTCTATTTCTCTCCACGGCCGCAAAACATCCCATCGTCTTCAAAGCAGGGGGAAACAGGGAGGAGCGAGCGGGTAGGGGGGGTTAGGCAGTTGGGGACAGGCAGGGGTTCCACAAGAGCTGTGAGATGGGACTTGGGAAAAGCAGGAGGGACATGCAAGAAAGCAAAATGTGGAAAGAGGCAAGGTGTGGGTGGGTGTAAGGGGCAGGGAGGTGCAAGGAGAAGGGAAGGGGGACAAGAAGAGGCACTAAAGCACGATTTTATAGGGCAAACTGACTTATAGAGCATTGTATATGCACCATTTTTCAATGCACTACATAACTTGCAGGAAAGTTTCTTAGTACAAGTTTCAACTATCAATAATGTAGCTTAAGGCAGATAAAATATTACTCTACTAAGTAAACATTCCTGTGCAGCAGTAATGTTATGGCAGTGCAATATCATTCTTGCATGGCACTGAAGTGAGTTCTTGGCTGTCCTGCACTAGCAAAGGGCAATGGCTCCACATCCAAAGTAGCTTGCCGTGCAGTAAGGGCTCTTTTTAAAAGAAAAGTAACGTGTGGGGGGTCAATTCTTGAGGCGCCTTAGAAACCGTGTCAAGGCCAGCAACAGCAGCAACACTGCCAGTGGAAGCAACAGCAACAGCATTAGTAGACTGTGAGGTGCAAGAACATCAGACAAAGCCACCTCGACAACAGCAGTGGCTGTTGGAGGTGAGGGTGTGAGTGAAGGTACATTGACACCACCCCATGCAGGTGCACCCACAACTGCCACAGCCGCGCCTCCACCCCCCTCATCGACACCTGTGGTCAGGGTGGGAGGCCATGAGGGTGCACAAGGGGTTTTGGAATGCGGGGCATGGGGAAGTTGGGAGTTGACCCCGTCCTCGCTTGGGCGGAGCCGACTTCGTGGTCGGGTACGCAAGTGGTGCAGCCGACAGCCAGCAGTGGGCGGCGCCGACCTAGGCGAGCAGGTCGACGAACTTGGTCGGCCTGTACGGGGCCACTAAGAAGTCGACGACATTGGGAAGCCAGCGGTTGACCTTGACTAGAGTGGTCGACGAAGGGCCTCATCAACCTGCGGGTAGTCGACTTTGTGATCGACTAAGTCGTCTTGGTTAGCCGGCTTGGGGATGAAGTCGGCGTGGTTGTCCGACTTCGACTGTTGGCTGACTTTGACGGTTGGCTGACTTGGAGGAAGTTGGTTGCAGCAGAGCCGACTTTGACGAAGACGGCCAGGACTGATGGTCGATGACAGAACTCGTCAACCTGGTTGGGGCGCCGACTTGTGGGCGCTGACTTTGGGGAAGCCGACTTGGTGAAGTCGGCATACAGTTTCAGGGTGGTCAACGAAGGATTTGTCGACCTGTAGAGTGGCCGAATTGGTGAAGTCGGCTGGTGGCCATCGAGGTAGTCGACAAGTACGTACACTAATTAGTCAAATTCTGCCGTGCACGTCGACGCCGAATTGCTGGTCTCCTGGTCGACCAAGTTACCAGGGCGATGAAATCTGCGAGGAGCACGGCGGTCGTCCAGGTGGTTTTTGGCGAAGTCGACCTTGAAGTGATATCCCGAGGTCGACGTGGCTCATCAGGCGCAGACAACGGCATGTGGCCGACTTGGCAGTGGTGCCGTGCACGTGACGGTGCACGTCGCACCAACCATCTGCAAGCCCATGCGAAGTATGTATGCTGCTGTCATTTGCGGATGCAGCGCTGGACGGCCGCCTTGGTGCAGCGCTGGAGCGGTGCGGACTTGCAGTGCT